CCTCCTCCTCAGGGGCTGTTGATTCACGCTCTGACTCACAAGCCTTTCATCTGACTTTCTCTCTTGTGCTGCCTGAGTTTGGAGAGTGGAGGCTCCGGGGAAGGTTTGCTCTTAGCCTGTTTGCTGCCCCCAATGACAGCCATAGGCTGGGGGTCTGGGGGGCAGGGAGAACAGCCCCAGTTGTGTTCAGGTTCTTTGCTTTGGGTTGATTCTGATAGTTCATCCTTTATCTCCATGTGACCTTGAGAAAGTCACCCTGTCTAGACTTCCACGACGTCATCTGTGCAACTCCTCTTTAAGATTATTTTCAGAAATACCCCAGTGTATAAGACAGACAAAAATGGAGCTCTGTGGTTAGTCCCCCCACCAACTCCAGCTCAGCAGCCCCTGAGAGGTTATTGAGTTGGAGTGGCCTCCAAAACCCCTTCCAGGCCTGAGATTCCTTGACCCGTGGAGGAGGAGAAAGGCAGACCTTTCCCAAGACTGGTTCCTTGAGAAGCTTCTGATGGTCATTACCAACCCTCACTAATCCCATGAACCCGTGTGAATGTAACATCCCTCTCCATCTTCCTTACACGTCCCTCTACCATAGTCTCCCCTGCCCCCACATGGGTGGAAGGGACATTTTTGGGTTTGCTGTCGATTTGATGACCTGTGTCCTCTTGTCAGATGAGGTCGAACCTCTCTCACAGGGTCAGGAGAGGAGGCAGTTAGTTTTATGATTTATTGCTTCCTTCTTTCTTCTTGCCCCTCAGGAAAAAATGTCAGTCCCCTAAACAACTCCCACATGCTCTCTGTCCTCTTTAAGTGTGGTTTTTCTTCCTGATGAGCTCTGGTCTTCAAATGGGAAAAGAGGGACCTTGGGAATATAAGAATCCTTGGCAGATTATCTTAAATTAATGAGACTAATAAGGAAAATCGAGTTCAGCTGTGCAAATTAGAGTTCTGTTCTGGGTCTTGATGACTTAAATTGCAGATCTTAATTAAATGCCCCCAAATAACCATGAAGTACCTTCTGCGGTCCTTTTGACCTAAAAGCTTCTCTGATCTGTGAACTACATCAAGTGTAAAATTAGTCTGTTGTTGTTCCCCTTTAAGCATTTCTATCCCCAGAATCTCGCCATACCTATAATACCAACCATGCCTTTAGGGGAGGGGGCAGATGGGAGGAGTGGGCAGGGACCCTGCAAGGGGAGGGGGGAGGGGGTACGGGAGGGAAGGGAGATTGGGAACCTCCCTTGGGCTGACGAGATGTCGGAGTACAGATGTTGCCCTCTGTTAGGAGGCCTCTCCGCTGTTCCGAGTGAAGTGGAGTGATTGCAACCTCTCTGCAAGCTGTGCAGGGCAGCCAGGCAGGGCGATGAAATACTGGAGATACACTGGGAAAAGGTGCAAGAGAGAAGAGCTCCTTCCTTGAGTTAATTCATACCCAGGGTGCCGCCTCTGCCTCTGGCCAGCATGGGGTGCACTTTCAGTGACATGAGAGGATGACAGTAAGCTAAGAAAGGAAACAGTTTCCCATGGTCATGCCCCCACACGTGGCCGTCGTCTTGATGTGGTGTCCTGCTGGCATTTTGCCTCTGTCATATCTTTTTAAATGGCTGTAACCAGAGCACGGGGAGAATATTGCGTTAAAAACACACATGATGCAGAACTGACATAGACGTTTTTTCATGCTGTGCGGTCTTTATTATAGTCATTAAAAAATTAAACTTTTCATTGAGGTATAAAAATCATTCATGTATGGCTTGATGAGTTTTCACACAGTAAATTCACTCCGGGAACCAGCACCCAGGTCAGGAGAGAGAACATTACCAGAGCCCCGCAAGCCTCGTCACGCCCTCCCCTGTCAGTCCTTGCCCCTCAAAGATACCACTGTCCTGACTTCTGACACCACAGACTCATTTGGCCTGTGCTTGACCGTCATAGATAGGCATGCAGACCTACACCACTCAGACCTACACCACTTGTCAAGCCATGCTGTGGCAATGACCCACACACAAAATAGAGGAGGATTGGCACAGATGTTAGCTCAGGAACCATCTTCCTTGGAAAAAAAAAGAAATGGAATTGCCTAGAAAATGCTCTCATGTGTCTGACTATTGCCCTTGATATTGTTTCAAAGGGTCACCTGTGTTGTTTTGTCCATTCTACTGTCGATGCACATTTGGATTGTTCCTAGTTTTTGACTTTTATGAATGTTACTGCTCTAAATGTTCTTTACACCTTTTTTTTGGTGAGCATAAGTATGCATTTCTGTTAGCACTTCCACTCTGAGTTATATACTAGGTCACAGGGTATGTATATGTTCAGCTTGAGTAGATCTGCCAGTTTTCCAGCGTGGCTGTACCATTTTACACTCCACTAGCAGTGTATCAGGGTTCCATTTATTCCACATCCTTGTCAACACTTGTATTGTCTGTCTTTTTCATTTTAGCTATTGTAGTGGGTGTGCAGAGGTATCTCATGGTTATAATTAGCATTTTCCTGATGGCTAATGAGGTTGAAGAACTTTTCATATGTTTATTGGCTTTGTTATAATCATTTTAATAGCTGTATAATAGTGTGTATTATAGCTGTTACAGACTGTACTTACCTGTAGCTGGGCATTTAGATTGGGTCCAGCGTTTGTCATTGTAAGTAATGCTACAGTAATCATCTTTGGACTGTTGGTGAGAATTTTGTTATTGTTTACAAATTTTGGTAAATAATGTCAAATTGCTTTCTGAAATGCTTATACCACTCTAAAATGCTATCAACAATATAGGAGAGCTCTAGGTCTGCCAACAAAGCGTATTCTCATTAGATGAGCAAACAAACCTCTTTTGGAAGGCTACTTTAGGTGAATATAGGTATATTTAGCATTTCTTTAATTATTATGAATGAGTTTGGTCACTTTTCCAGAATGTTCACCACATGTATTCCTCTTTTATGAATTCATACCTTTTGCCACTCGCATTGTTAGTGAGGGTTTTTTTGTTATTAATTTGTGCGAGGGTTACTGTAAAATAAGATATTAGTACTGCAAGTCCTTTCTTAGTCTTTCCCATTTTCCTTGCGTATTTTTGATTTCATGCCTTTCGATGTCAGCAAACTGATGAGTCTTCCCCTTGGTGACTTCTACTGTGAATGCCCAGCAAGGCCACTGCCCTCTCTACTGAGGTGCCCAGGCTAAAGGTTCCTGGGTGCCCCCAGTGGGAGGAGTAGGGGCACAGCCTGCAAAGGAAACTGTTTATCCTGTCATTTACACTACACCCCAAACCCCGACAGTTTCGATGCTCATGCGCTGGGCCCTGAGGTCTGCCCGACAGCCCCCAGCAGTGCTGGGACTGAGTTGGAGCCTGGGTGTTCTGCTCCACAGGAAGGTGCACGGTGCAGGCAGCAGCAGCTGCGGGGTGGGAGCCCAGTGGAGATTGCAAAGCCCACTCCCATTCTTGCACATTTGGTTCTCACTGCAGCCTCCTGAGATGGGTACAACTAGCCTCATCTTAGACACTAAAAAGCAGAACCTCAGAGGGGCCCAGCAGCTTGTCCCAGAGCCTGACGTTTGTAAGCGGGAAGACTGGCACTCAGATTCCTATCCCCTCATTTTCCCTAAACCACATCCTAGCTGCCCAGTAGGTTCTGTAGGGCTGGCCCAAATCCCCCTGGATCATCCCTGGAGGGGGGATAGGAATGTACACTTTCTATTCTCCTTCTTTTGGGTTTTGAGCAAAACCTTTGTTTTTGAGCCAGAAGGTTAGATTGGTACGTGGAGCTCAAAGGAACTTGTAGCAGCTCTTGGCTTCCCCGTGTTTCTAGGCATTGAAATTATGACTTATGCATTATAATATGCATTCTCAAGAACTTCATGTGTGACCAGCTGGTTAAGTTTATGATTTTCTATTTTTAGATGATGGATTTGGATGTGCTTCTATGAAGAAATGCCACGTGTCTCTGCTGGTCCAAGAGCAAACATGTCCAGTAAGTTGCTGGGTAAATTAACTCAAGGGCGGGAACACAGGCCCTTCAAGTCTAAAAGTGTTGACACACTTTGAGAAGACAGGTGTGTCTGGATATATGGAGAACTTTGAGAGGGGTGTTTTAATCCAGCCTATTGCTCAGTCTAATTCTCTTAACTTCTAAAGCTTGGTTCCTTCTAGAGTCAGTGGGAATTGTAGCGTATAGGGTTGGAAAAACGTGAAACTCACTTCTTGCTTCGTAGAGCAGAATGTGAGTTCTGTGCTGTGCCAGAGCGTCTGTCTGATTCAGCCTGCAGTGGCACTTTGCCCAGAGGACTTCCATACGCATAGCACAGCACTATCCACTTGGGTTAGGTAGATTATCACATACATGTTTTGTGGGAAGGAAAGCCCTAGACTGAGACACACGTGAAGTTTCCGTAGCTCCGGGAAGAAAGGGAGCAGGCTGGAGACGTTTGCCTTTGTCTCTCCAGCATTCTGCCATGCTGTTGAAGCTGGTGGGTGGCAACCCTCTTCATGCATCTTTCATCCCTCTAGCAGAGGTCATAGTGGATTGATTTAAAATTTTAAAGATTCTGTGAGACTTGCCAGTGGAAAAGCATAATAAAGCAATCTCCAAAGCCGTATTTTATGATTATATTTAAACCATCATTTAACATGGCATGACTTTGTTGAAGAGAACGTGATTTCTTTATGGGATCCCTTGGTCATACCGTGTTGGTGTGTGTGTGAGAGAGCTCTGGGGAGGGCAGAGGAAGAGGTGATTGGAAGGGGCCTCAATCATCAGACTCTCCACCCCTGGCCCCTCGCCTGCCAGAGGACCTTGGCTTCGCTGCCTCTTGCCTATGTTAGGTCAAGTGCTCTCTCCGTGAGAGCACAGTGTCTCTTGGTCGCCATCCCTGTGTTCCTTACCAGTGTTTGTTCCTATTTCTCAGGACTACTGCCACCTTAGGGCACTAGGGCTTGGCGACAGCACTTTCCGGGGAATCAGGCGTGGTCTGACCCAGGAACAGGAAGCACGTCATCACCAATGACATCATGACAGCAAGAGAGCACAGCCCTCGCCACAGTGCCAGGGCCCGTGCGATGCAGCGGGCTTCCACCATCGATGTGGCCGCCGACATGCTTGGCCTCTCTCTGGCAGGTGAGCCTCACAGGGCCTTCTCTGGGTTCTTGGTATGAGCTCACAGAGCGTGGGTCACACGCAGTGGCGGTGCTGCTGAGAGGACCACACCTGCCTCCTGGGGCACCTGGCAGACAGCCAGGATGAGCCCACTGTGACTGCCCCAGGCTGGAGGGGGCCCTGGTATGGCATCCTTCTGGTTGCATCGGAATGGGAAGGGAAAAGTCAGCCCTCTTCCTGGGAGCTGCTTCCACTGAAACCTGCCCACAGTTTTCCAGTTTGGGTGGGCACCTGCAGGGCTCATTTGCCAGTAGATGACGTGGGAATGTCCACGGTGCCTGTCTGGCAGGTGCCCAGGCTGTAATGAAAGCCTTGCCTGTTGTGGGTGTGCAGACCCCAGGAGGAGGGGGTTTGGTCTTGGGGTCCGAGACTGCTTAGGAGCCTCAAAAGAAAAGTATTTAGAAAATGAAGAAATCATCTCGTATAAGTTTTGGAGGGGGAAAAAAGTAGAGTGTTGGTTTTTTTACCCCAGTTTTATTGAGAAATAATGGATATACGTCACTGTATAAGTTGAAGGTGTACAGCATGATGGCTTGATTTAAGTGTATTGTGAAATGATTACCACAAATGTGTTGGGTTTTTGCATAAAATCTAAAAGGGAAAAGGGCCGGCCCCGTGGCTTAGCGGTTAAGTGCTCGCGCTCCGCTGCTGGCGGCCCGGGTTCGGATCCTGAGCGCGCACCAACGCACCGCTTCTCTGGCCATGCTGAGGCCGCGTCCCACATACAGCAACTAGAAGGATCTGCAGCTATGACATACAACTATCTACTGGGGCTTTGGGGGAAAAAATAAATAAATAAATAAAATTAAATAAATAAATAAATAAAAGGGAAAAATTTATCAAGGGTGATTTTTTTCTGTCATGTCTTTTTGATTCAGGAAATATGCAAGATCCAGATGAGCCCATTTTAGAATTCAGCTTAGGTAAGTGTCTTTTTAAATTTTTTTTTTTAAATATATGTTTCTTAAAAACAAAAACAAAAACACGACTGCTGTGGCAAGCGTTTGTCTCAGAGAACTTGCCGCTGCCCCTGCTGCTGCAGGAGATGAAGTGCCGAGGCAGGTGTGAACTTCCTGTGGGAGGGAGCCTCGGGGGCTGTGTGCCTGTGGGACTCTGTCTCCTCAGCATGTGCTCCCCCAGGCTGGCAGTGGTGGGGGGATGGGAGGTGAACCCACCCAGAACTGCAGGGGCAGCCTCCCTCCCCTCCTCCTACCTCTCTGGGAGAGGCAGGGAGGGGTGAGAAAACTGGGCTTAGGGCCAGCATGGTCAGCCCCTGGCCATGAGGCCCTGTGTGGGTGAGTTGAGCTCTCTAGCCCTCTGTTCCCCACACTGTAAACGATGTTGGTGACACCTGCATGCTCTCCCTCTCAGGGAGCATCAGACCAGAGAATGTACTAAAAACTGTAGTAGATGTGCCGGCTCCAGGAACAGGGAAGTGTGGCGTTACTGCGGCTTACCCAGGCGATCCGAGAGCAGGGTGGGGTCAGACACAGACGCTTCTCCAGAGCCCGACGCTGTCCGGTGTTCCTCTCCCCTTCCCTCATCCCCCGGGTGGTGGTCAGCATTGGTTGGTGGCCTGGCATCAGTGTCCAGGAGGTGGTGTGACATCTTTCATGTCACCTCCTGGGGAGTCAGGTGATCTGGAATCTAGTCCAGACTCTGCTGCAAACTAGCTGCATAGTCTTGAGCCTGCCACTTGACCTCGCTGGACCGGTTTCCTCATGTGCTGTGTGGGGGTTACCACTTGAGAGATGAAGAAGCTCATGGCGGTTAAAACAAAACCAAAGGACTTTGGCAAATTGCTAAGCCCATAAAAATGTAAGTGCATTATTATCAAGTTAATATTAAACTCTGATAAAGATTAAATGCTCCTAAATGAGTTCAGAGGGTTTCCCCAGCCCTGATTGATGGCTGGGTCTGGCAGTGGGCAGTGAGTACTGTGCCGTGTCCTGGGAAGGGGAGGTTGCAAGAGAAGAACCTTTAACCCTGCTGGGGCTCTCACACACCTGCGTGCCCCAGCCTAGAACTTTGTTGCTCTTTATAAACTATAATAAACCCAAGGACTTTCAGTTTCACAGCAGAAGAGAGAACATATTCCATCCCCATCCCCTTATCTTAACTCATCTCAGACATCAGGAAGAATGAGAGACAGAAACATAAACTGTACACTGAGACATGTTGGAACCCCCAGCATGTAACCTGGGAGGAGGGAGCAGATGGAGAGAAGCTTGGGCACACCTGTCTGTGGGGGTGGTGAAGCCAAGCAGAGGATTTGTCCCAAAGGCACTGGGGAGACCAGGAGACAAAAGCAGGGGCTTACTGGAAGGTTTGTATAAGGAAGAGTTTGGGTTCAGGTTCCCACCATACTCCCTTAGCTGTGCAGGGGCTGGAGGTTTATTCTCTCTAGAAACTTCAGAAGCAGACAGGCCCTGGGCCAGGGTGCATCAGCACAGAGGAGAGTGGAGTGAAGGGCCAGACAAAAACAGGATTGAGTTTAAGTCTGTTGAATAACAAGCTCCCACTCTCGCCCCCCCCAGGCTTCTTCCTCTCGTCCTAATTCTGCCAAGCTCATTCCTCCAGGCAGGAGGCTCTCTCTGGAGAAAGTAAGCCACCCACTGCCACTCCACCCAAAGAAACAAAGAGACACTGGCCTTCTGGAACCCAACCAGAAGCAGGCCAGCCAGCTACCCAGTCACTGTCCTGGAGCCCACCTAGCCCACCTATGCACACGCAACCTTCTAGTACCTCATTCTTAAAAAGGAATGGACGTTTATTTGTGCACACAAAGATTAGTACGTGCATGTTGATTGCAGCTTTATTCATGATAGCCAATGCTGGAAACAACCCACATGTCCATCAGCTGGAAAATAAACTGGTACATGCATACAGTGGAATACCACTCAGCAAGGAGAAGGAATGAACTAATAGACACAAACACGTGGATGAATCTCAAAAACATTATGCAGAGTGGAAGAAGCCATACACAAAAGGCTGTATATAGTATGATTCCATTTATGTGGAACTTAGGAAGACTAATTTATAATGACAGAAAACAGGTTAATGGTTGTCTGGGACTGAGGGTGAGGATTGACTGGAAAGAGGGCACAGGGAACCCTTAGGGGTGATGGAAACGTTCTATATGTTGACTGTGATGGTGGTTATATGGATGTATACGCTTATCAAAACTCATTGAACTCCACTTAAAATGGGTACATTTTATATATAAATTAGATACCTCAAAGTTGATTTAAAACAAAATGAAAGAATAGTCAAAGATCACTAGACCTTTGTGGAATGCCCACAACGTGAAAGAAAAAAACAGATAGAAAAAAATAGAACTTGGAAGAAACAGAGACATTGAGGAAAGTAGAAGAAAACATCAAAAAATTCTAATTTATATCCTCAAGAGAAGAGATGTATCCATAAACAATAACAGGATACTATAAAGAAAAAAGAACAATGAAGAACAAGGACAATCTTAGAAATGTAAAATGTGATAGACAAAATTTAAATTCTGTAAGGGTTGAAAGATATTCAAGGAGTTATCCCCAAAAGTGAAAACTGAAAAGCAAAATAGAAAATGGGAGAGAAATGGAAATGGAAAATTAGAGGCCAAATTCAGGAGGTCCAATATTTAGAAGAGAAAATGGAAAAGAATGTAAGGGAGGGAATTACCAAGAAATAATACAAGAACTCTCTCAGAACTGAAGGTGTTTCTAGGTTAAAAATGACCCAGCGTAATGAGTGAAAAAGATCCATAACAAGGCACACTATGATGAAATTTCAGAACACTGGGAGTAGAATGAAGATCCTAAAAACTTCAGGAGAGAAGAAAAAAAAATCGTGTCCAAGGATCAGGAGATAACACCAGCGTGGAGATTGTCAGCAGCATTGGAAACTTGAATTCAGTGGGACAACACCTGTAATATGGGTGGAAAATATTTTCAACCTAGAATTCTTTACTCAACCAGACTGTCAATCAAATGTGAGGATAGAAAGGAACTTGTCTCAGGTATACAGGGTTTCCAGTTTACTTCCCCCTCATCTCTTCTCTGAAAGTTAGTGCATGATGTGCTACACCCTAAAGAGGGAATAAATTGAGAAAAAGGAAAACCATAGGATCCAGGAAACAGGGTCCAACGTGGGAGAGAAGTGAAATAAATCCCATTTGGCCCATAATAATATTCACTTAGCTTTAATAATGCAAAATATGGATTTATCAACAACAAAAAATAAACTGAGTGAGTGTAGAGAGAAGATGAGAGTTGATATAATTGAATTAAAAATCCTCACTGTTATAATTGAAATCAGGATAGTTCTGAATCTGGCAAATCAGAAACAGTAATACAGTCACATTAATTAGATGCATGGAGGAAGAAATAGCTTAAAAAGGTGAGGGTGAATTTGACATTAAATGAATTTTATCACAATGAAAAAAAAGAGTGAGGAGCAGCAGCTGGATGATTGAATGGTCAAATATTTTGTTTTAAAATTAAAATTGATAAAAGTTTAACAAGTGCTCATTTTAAAACCTTTAATACAGAAGATGTTAGAGGAAAAGAAAACTCTATCACAGAGACATCATCATAGTTGGCATTTTGGTATAGATCCTTCCAGATTTTTTTTTACACCCATACAGTGCTATGCAGAAATTTTTAATGATTTTTGGTTGTGGAGATGATGGAATTATTTACAAAAATGCCATCCGAGAGTTCTTTTTTTCCCCAAAGCCCCAGTAGATAGTTGTACGTCATAGTTGCACATCCTTCTAGTTGCTGTATGTGGGATGCGGCCTCAGCATGGCCCGACAAGCGGTGCGTTGGTGCGCGCCCGGGATCTGAACCCGGGCCGCCAGCAGCGGAGCCCGTGCACTTAACCGCTAAGCCACGGGGCCGGCCCCCATGCTAGAGTTCTTAACATGGTTTTTGCATGTAGTAAAATATCACTGGCTTCTTTTCATTTTAATAAACATGGGATCTGCCTCATCATTTTGGATACCTACATAGAATCTGTTGTATGGCTGTGCCGTGTTTATTTTAACCAGTCTCCTATTGTTGGACATTTAGGTTTTTCCAGTTTGCCATTATAAACACCACCACAGTGAATATTCGTATATAGACCTTTCATACATTTTGCTGATTATTTCCTTCGGATAAAGTCTTGGATATAAACTTGCTGAGTCAAATGGTGTGCACTTGAAATATGTCTTTCTTACCAGTTTACCTGAACAGCATTTATTCAGCTGGGATTACAGATGATCTGGTTGCAGAGACAAGGCATACATATCAGAGATAAATGGTTTCTACGGAAATATGCCAAAAGAGTGATATAAGTGATAAACAGAAGACTATGTGGGCTGCTGAGAGAAAGCTTCATAGGAAGCTATAGAACTTGAGCTAGAAATTAAACAGTGAGTGAGATTTAGATAGGCTGGGTGGGGGACGAAGCCAGGAGAGAATGTCACTTATAGGAAGGTGTGTTCTGAAGGTGGCATTTTGCCTGTCAGCCCTTAAACTGATGTCAGTCTTCCCAGCCTTTGGCCACCTGTTCTATCTGTTACCACTTGAGCTTGAAAGACCCAGATAGTCCAACCTTGCCACACCTGATGAAAGGGCAAGTGAGAGAGACCAGACTATGTGTCACGTAAGGGTGTAGTTTAACGGAGGGAGAGCAAGTGGAACAGTCAAATCCTTGATTGCTGTTAGGCAGACATAGTAGGAGAAATAGAAGAGAACTTTAAAAAATAGTAGAACTGTAAAGCTTCTAGAAGAAAACGAAGGGTAACATAGAACCTCAGCGTACACAGATTTTTTGGACAGAATGCAAAAAGCACTAACTCTGTGTTTTAGTTTGCTCTTGCTGCCAACACAAATAACTGCAATTTTAGCACCTTTAAACAACACAAATTTGTTATCTTACAGTTCTCTTAGGTCAGGAATCCAGTGGGCTCAGCTGGATCTCTGCTTAGAGACTTACAACAATCAGAGTGTCAGCTGGGCTGCATTCCTTTCTGGGAACTCGAGGAGAGAATCTGTTTCCTCACTCGTTCTGGTTGTTGACAGAATTCAGTTCCTTGTGGTTTGAGGACTGAGGTCCCCATTTCTTTGCTAGTTAGCAGCTGAGGCTAGTTCTCAGCTTATAAAGACCGCTCACAGTCCTTGGCTTGTGGCCACCTTCCTTGGTCTTCAAATCCAGCAGTGGCAGGTGGAGTGCCTTTCATGCTTTGAACTTTTGCCTCTTCTTTGATGATCACATCTTTCTAACTCACCCTTCCACCTTCCTCTTCTGCTTTTAAGATCTCATGTGATTAGATTAAACCCACCCAGATAATCTGGAATAATCTCCCCATGTCCAGATCCATGACCTTAATCATATCTATAGGGTCGTTTTTGCCTCTAATGTAATATATGCACAGGTTCCAGGGATTAGGACATAGATTTTTTGGGGGGGTGGGGGACATTTTTCTGCCTACCACTTCCTAAAATTAAAAATGGGATAAATTGGACTTCATCAAACTAAAAAATTACTGTCCATCAAAAGATACCATTAAGAAAATGAATAGATAAACCACAGACTGGGAAAAAAAATATTCATAACACATACACCTGACAAAGGACAGATCCAGAATAAAATACTTACAAATCAACAATAAAAAAGTCGACAACCTGATTTTAAAATGAGCAAAAGATTTGAGCAGACTCTTGACAGCAGAAGTTATAAAAATGAACAGTAAACACATGGTGAAAAGATGCTTAACATCAGTCATCGTGGAAGTACAGATTAAAACACATCCATTAGAACAACTGAAATAAAGACTAACTCCACCAAATGTTGGTGGGGATGCAGAGCAACTGGAACTCATGTACATTGCTGGTGGGATTGTAAAATGATACAAATACTATAGAAAACTGTTAGCTTCTTACAAAGTTAAGCATATCCTCCACTATAACCTAGAAATTCCACTTTTAGGTGCTTATGCAAAAGAAATGAAAACATACGTTCACAAAAAGACATGAACAAGAATGTTTATGGCGCCTTTATTTACAGTGGTTCAAAACTAGGAAAAACTGAAATGTCCATTAACAGTAGAATGGATAAATAAATTTTGGTACATTCATACAATGGAATATAACTTATCAATTAAAAAAAGAATGAATTATCAATACATATAACAGTGTAGGTGAATCTCAAAAACATTCCATTTATATGAAATTCAAGAACAAACAAAAGTGATAGAAATCAGAAAGTGGTTGCAGAGGTCAGGGAATTGACTGTGAATTGCGAGGGGGAACTTTCTAGTTTGATGGAAAAAGTTCTCTGTCTTGTTTTGATGATGGTTACCTGGGTGTATATGATTGTCAAAACTCATTGGACTGAAAGCTTAAACTCTTTGTATTTTATTATAACCAATAAATAATGAAAATTCATAAATATACATGAGAAGGTACTACAAAGAGAGAATCCAAGATCCGAAATTAATTATCAGAAGTAAAAATCAATTTCTGAATTTTCAGTCACCAGTGAGCATTTTAAAAAATTGAATGAGAATGATGATGGCAGAAATGACAGAGTAAGGACCTCCAAAAATCCTTTCCTCCATAAAGGCAATGAGAACATTGGCAAAAGTGGTCAAAATCAGTTGTTTCAAAAGGCTGGAAATTAACCAAAGGCTTATAAGCACTCTGGAGAGTGTTTATTACCCACTCCGAAAAAGCTTCTTGTTTCTATTGGTATCGAACTTTGATTTACCATATATTTCATCAATTCCAAGATGTATATTTTTTCATGTTTTAATATCTTTAATCAGAAAGTGTTTTAAAATCAGCATATCACTGTCTAATGGCAGTGGATCTTTTTTTCTTTCACAGTGCATTTTACAACAGGTAGCATGTTAGAGTCAATGAAATTTGGTCATTTTTCCTATAGGTCACTTTTATGATAGAATTATCTGAGTCTTATAATCTGTTTCAAAATGCTTAATACAATAAATTTTCTTTTTTTTGTGTGTGAGGAAGATTCGCCCTGAGCTAACATCTGTTGCCAATCCTCTTTTTTTGCTTGAGGACGACTAGCCCTGAGCTAAAATCTGTGCCGGTCTTCCTCCACTTTGTATGTGGGTCGCCACCTCAGCGTGGCTGACAGGTGGTGTAGGTCCACGCCCGGGATCCGAATCCACGAATCCCGGGCCACCGAAGCGCAACGTGTCGAACTTAACCACTATGCCGTGGGGTCGGCTCTGTACGGTAAATTTTCCAACTGAAACAGTTCTACAGGGTACCTTTAGTTTTGAAAAGTAACATTTTTAGTAATCTTGCATTGGATATGAGTCTTATAAGGAGAATAAATGAGCAGTGACTTCCTTTTTTTTAAGAAAGCTTTGTTGACTTTGCCATAGAATTTTACCTTGCTTCCAGCCTGCATCCACACAGAGACCCATGGGGCACCACAAGCTTAGGGCTGGCCACTGCAGTTACAGGATACGGGCATGTGTAGCCGCGTCTTGATTCCCTAGGCTCTGTGGCTGCTTAGCTCAATTGGTTAGAAGTTCAATTAGTTATTAAGGTGAAACTTTATGGGTCAGACCCCGTATGAGCTTGTTGGCTTTGTGCTCCATTCCGTGAACATAGAAAGCCCCCTCTGGCCTTCTGCTGGCGGTTGCAACATTGCTGTCATAGGGGTGGGGGAAATGGGGCAGAGTAAGAAGAGGATGTTTCGTATTTAAAAAATCACCTCCCTGTGACAACTGACAGTGTGATCGTTTCATCCCTTTGAGTGTCATTTCCCTTTTTTGCTGTCTTTGGGTATGTTTGGAACAGAGAATTAACTAGAGCCTGATTTTAAAGGATTCATTTCTTTCCCATCTTAATTCTATAGCTTGCAGTGAGCTGCATACTCCATCGCTAGATCGAAAACCAAATAGTTTTGTAGCAGTGAGTGTAACCACCCCTCCTCAGGCATTCTGGACGAAGCACGCACAAACGGAGATCATTGAGGTGGGTGCTGCTGGCCCGCGTCCTCAGGGAGCCCCTGACAGGCTCTGGTGGTGGGGTAGCCCTGTGGGAGGGCTGTTCAGTTACCTTGGAGCTGCAGTGATAATTATGTGAGTTGTGTTGCTGTTTCTCCGTGGATTTTCGTACACTGGTATTTGTCATCACTCTTACTTATCTGGATGGCATTTATAGTTGCCATATCCTTTACAATTACTGATTATCTATTGGCTAGTTATTTTTGAAAAATGATCCTATAAGGTTGATTGCATTTTAAGAGGCAAGACCTAATACTTCCTTGTCACTTCCAATTGGCTGCTACTTTTAGAAAACTGCTCTCATTAATCAGAGTTTGGAGAGTGTTAACTATTAACTAGCCTTCTTACTGGGGCATACCCCTATTTTTATTGGTTTTTATCTTTATAGCCTTTTGAGTTGTGTGTTATATGTTTACTTTCTACATTAAGTTAAATGATATACATTCACTGAGGGAATTTTATAAAATCTCTTTAGATAATTGAGCACATTACGTAAGTTATGAAACTAAGTGTAGGAGTTCCTGGTGTGAGATTCTGCAGGATTCTATTTGTGATGTGAGCTTCTATGTGAATTAAGTGTCTCAAGCACACTTAGACTGCATTTCCTCCTCTTCCCCAGGTTTATATTTTGGAGGATAGACCATGCTTTTTCCATTCTCTTGGAAACTTATTTCTAAGTTCAAGCCAACAATTCTGTTTTCTGAGCTTTTGTTGAGCACTGCTTACACATGAAGCACAGTGCTGGGCACTGTGGATGATACAGAGACCCCTGGGGCCCAGTCCCTGCCCTCAAGAAGTTTACCATCTGTAGGTAGGGAGCAGAAGTGAGCGTGGCTCCGTCTCTACACAGCAGAGTGTGGAAAGTGTCAGAGAGATGAGGACAGCACCAGGAAGACGGGGTCCCATCCAGCTCTGAGGCTCAGAGGAGGCTTCCTATAGCGGGGCTTAGTGAAATTCTGGCTTAAAAGGTCTGAGGTGGGGTCCAAGACTCTGCATTTGCACAAGCTCCCAGATGATGCCCAGTCTGGGGACCACATGTGAAGAGCATGCCAGAGTTCTGTGGTAGCTATGCAAAGGCATGGCGATAGGAAAGCATCGTGTGTATTTGGAGAATAACGTTACCCTGTTCCATGAGTGCAAAAGAGGCACAAGTGGGAGAGCAAGGGAGGGAAGCCTTGAACATCAGATGAGGAGTTTGTAGTGGCCAGTGCTGGCTTTTCTGTGGGGGAGTCACCTGTCTGGCTGTGTTTCAGAGAGGTCCTAACTTGGATAGTCAGGCAGTCTTTTGAGGGAGTGATGTAGGACCTGGCTGGCAGTGGGAAGGAGTGGAGTGTATGTGGGAGAGGCTCTGGAGGTGGCTTTTGCCGGAGGAGTTCATCCTCACTGGGGGGTGAGAGCCACTGAGAGGAGGGCACCAGGGCAGACGCCCAGGTTTGTAGCCTCCTGGGAAAGAAAGTCATAAAGGGCCTTAACCAAGGGTGGATGGAGGGAGAGGTTGGGTGGGGCTGTGGTCCCAGCAGTCCACCCAGTGGGTGCTGAGAGACTGGATTTGGAGCTACAGAGGGAACGTAGCCAGAGGCATGGACCCCACAGCAGGAACAGACAGGAACTGTTAACCGTTTGGCTGAGAAAGTTAACCACTGCCTGAGAAAGAGCATATGATATTATAGGCCTCTATAGGAGGGTGAGGCTAAGCTGCCAGGAAATAGCCACCTAGGATCTAGAAATTAGCAACTAGTCCTCAGAAAAGGAGAGCCTTAAAAGAGTCAGGCCGTAATTATTCCAAACCCAGGATACTGGAAATAAGAAATGACTTAAGCCATTCATTTCCTCTTTCATTTGCCTGTTTATACATCTTAAAGGAACAACCCAAAGTAGAAGGTCCAAATACATGACTCTTCTAAAGTTGTAAGACTAAGAATATATGTGGACATTCAACTCATTTTAGTTTTATAAAATCCTTCCTACTGAATGAGAAACCCTTAGAATGAGCCCTTGGGCACAGCTTGTGCATTTGTTGCATTTGTTGTATCTGGGTCTAGAACGGTCTGTGTCAGACTGCTTTGTTGTTTTTGGAAAGCAGTTGTTGGGTTGTGTGCATCCATTTAAGCTGTCATTAGTGTTTGTGTTGATCCTAGTTTACGAGAATGTTAATTTATCATTCTGAAAATGTTGATGTATTTCAAAAGCAATTACATTAAAAAATCCAACTCTGTATTCTGATTATTTTCTTTTCTATTCTAGGGAACCAACAATCCTATATTTCTAAGCAGTATTGCCTTCTTTCAAGACTCTCTTATCAATCAGATGACCCAAATCAAACTCTCTGTGTATGATGTCAAAGATAGATCTCAGGGAACAGTTAAGTAACGTGGTTTGGGGGATTTTCTTACCTTTTTTTTTAAGTTCTGTGATCATTTGAAAGAGAGGAGAGCACAAGATTGACTTCACTACTGGCTCACAAATTAACAAATGTCCAAACATATTTGTCTTTGGGAATTTCTTACTGAGCATCTCTATTGGGCTCCTGAGATGAGGGTCAGATATGTTGAGGAAACCAGCCGGACTCCCCTGGGGCCTGGTAATTGGAGCAGAGGCAAAGCAAGCACACTAATGCTGTCTCTCTCCCCCTTCTTCCTCAGATGTATTTACTGGGCTCTGGAACCTTCGTTGTCAAGGATCTGCTCCAGGACAGGCATCATAGATTGCATTTAACACTAAGGTTGGTATTTAATTTTGTTCCTTTGGAAGGGTATGGAATGAAGAGGTTCAGGGACAGGTGGGGAAAGGCTCTATTTCCTATACTGAGAGAGCACCCTGCCCCTCCCAGAGGCCAGTCTAAGAGGGGAGGTGCTTGTCCATTGAGGCAAGATAAAAAAGTCAGCCTATCAGAGGGCCTGATGGAAATGTGGGGCGTCTGTGGGAAATATGAGCACATTCTACTCAGACCTAAAGGAAAACCTAGATACGTATCTAATAAGACAAAATATATTTGTGTATTATCTGTCCCCTCCCCAATAGAATGTAATCTCCCGGAGAGCAGGGATTTTTGTCTGTTTTGCTTCATGGCTGTATCCCAAGCACCTAGAACAGTGCCTAGTGCTCAATAAATATTTGTGGAAAGAAGAGAGGGAGACCCCCTGGCCCCCACTGTGTTCCTGGAAGGAAGATGAAAGATGTCAAGATGTCAATCCTTCCCAGATTCATTTTAGAGGCAGTTCCCACCCAAACCCTGATGTGGCATTCTTTTTTTCAAAATAATGTAAACATTGGAAAAATAGTCCAAAATAGCAAAGAAAATTTTGACAGAGATGATGAATTCCCTGCTAGAGAGTGTGACATTCTGAAGCTGCGGTGATGCAGCGTTGTGGACGTTGGACGGATGAGCCCCGCAGCCGTCCTTTGTGTGTGAGCCTGACTCGGCATGAAGGAGGAGTCTGGGGAAATGAGGGGTCTCGTTGGGGCAGGGCTGTCAGAGGACAATGCATAGGGGCAGCACGTGCCACAAGTAACTCCAGTTGGACTGGAGTTAACTGTAAGAAATGGATGTCATCCTGTTTAGAAGGATCTGGAGATGACTGTTGAACAGATAGCCCTGGAAGGACTTTTCCAGGCATGAGAACAATGCAAGTCACAAAGGAAATGGTCAGTAGATGTGACCCCTTAAAAATTGAGAAGCTGGCTAAGTCAGACATCTTAAATAAAAAGCCTGAGGTTCACGGTGTCCCTGGGGCTTCCCTGGATGAATTAGATGGGCCTGGGCAGCTGGCAGCCACCCCGAGGGGTGTCGGGTGAAGCTGACCGGGGCTAGAGTGCATCAGCTATATTGTGTCAGGATTCAGAGGTGTCGGGAAACCCTGGTGACCTCTGCTTATTTGGGGTCCAGGCCTAGGCCTTGAGGCTCATCAAAGCTTGAGAGGGGGATGGGAAGGAGCAGAGAGGGGTCCAATGCCAGAAGAAGGTGCCCTCCAGTTGTCATTCCCCCTCACTCTCTGGGGCAGGGGTCAGCCCAGGGGCTGAGGGACGCCTCCCAAGCAAGCGTCGGCCCCTCCACTCTGACTCCACCAGGCACGCCACACTTCTCTGTGGTGGTTTGTCCCTTCTCCAGTGCAGTCCTCCCCTGTGCCCCATGGTTTCCTTGTGTGCCTGCCCGGAGCCTGTGAATGCTGGCTGACCGACCAGCTGGCCGGATCGTGGTGCCCTCAGGATCACTTGGGGAGCCGGGACGGCTGAGCTTCGCATTTAAGCAGAACATGAAGTGCAGTCACGTCACCACTCACTAAAGCACGTTGCTTGTTGCAGGTCTGCAGAGAGTGACCGCGTGGGTAACATCACCGTGATCGGCTGGCAGATGGAGGAGAAGTCGGACCAGCGGCCCCCCGTGACCCGGTCTCTGGACACCGTCAATGGGAGGGTGAGCATGCCACCTTCCTCCTCCGCATTAGAGTTAGAGGACCTGTCCACGTGGACTTGGCCTCTGTGCTCAGGGAAGGGAAGGGAAGGCCAGGGCTGCTGCTTGATGCTGCCTCGCAGGACATGCCTTCTTCCAGGCACTTCTGAAAGTAGTGAGAAGGGGGCTCCTCAGAGAACAGGCTCCTCTGCTCCGGCCATGCTGGCCACCTCCAGAGAGCGGGCGGAGCGAATGGGCAGGAGCCTGGCCAGAGGCGCTGCAGTCAGGCGGGTAGGGAGGTGGCTTGTGGGGGTGTGGAATGAGACCAGAGTATCTGTGATGTTTTGTTAGTATGTTCCTCTCCCAGACAACATGTGCCCCCCACTCACCTTATGCACTCTCCGTGCCCGCACACCGCCTTCTTCTCACACCCCATCTCCTCCTCTCCATCTCCTTCACTCTCTCTCCCACACCCTCTCTCACACGGATACTCCATGCTCTAAAACTAGAATTCTAATTTAAGAACCCAAACACTGGTAAGTAGTCATTGTAAAATACAGAGTTATCTCATTTCACCCAAAATAAGCCCAGAATGTCAGCTCTGGAAATACTTCTGGGCACCATCTATTCCCTCCCTTTCATTTTACACATCAGAATCCTGAAACACAAGGTGAAGTGGCTTTGTCAAAAGACATGCATTTCTAGAAAGTTGTGTGTGCGTGGAATATGTTCTATATACTGGGAGGTGGATTAGTTTGTCTGTGGCTTGGGTGGAGTATTCATTGTAGAGTTAATGGTGGATGGTAATTTGAAGCATTCTTTTATGGTGTCCCCAGGCCACCATTTCTCTTGAGTGCTCTGGTCTCACAGGTTTCTTGTGCCTCTCTGTACGTGTTATTAGATGGTTCTGCCCGTTGATGAGAGCTTGACCGAGGCCTTGGGAATCCGATCCAAATATGCTTCATTGCGAAAAGACACTTTACTGAAATCGGGTAAACAGCTTCCTCCGTTGGTACTCTTGCCACTCTTGTGAGTGTCTGCTCGGGCCATGGTCACCCTTTCCTCCCCATCTGCTCTGATTGTCACCTCCCTGTTGTACATGGAGGAGTCGTTCTTTTTGCCAGCATATGGAGAGTTAGTAGTACTGTGAGGAAGGGCTTCTCCTTTGTTTCGCGCCTTCTTGTTTAGCGTTGGGTTTAGTGGCTGACAGCCTCCCCGCCCCAACCCCTTGTACTTCAGAGTTTGTTACACATTCTGGGGCAAGAAGATTGCATGTCATGGGAGAGGAGTGATCAGGCTCAGTCACGTGGTGGGTTTTTGGTTTAAATGTCTTAATTCCCTTGAGATGAACAGTTAGAAGACTTGAGGGCGTCAGCACCGCTGAGGGCCTGGGGAGGAGGCCCCTCGCGGCAGGTCTGCACCAGCTCACCCAGCCTCTGTCTCCCCCGCCGTCCCACCTCAGTGTTCGGCGGCGCCATCTGCCGCATGTACCGCTTCCCAACCACTGACGGCAACCACCTGAGGATCCTGGAGCAGATGGCGGAGAGTGTGCTCTCCCTGCACGTGCCCCGGCAGTTTGTGAAGCTCCTGCTCGAGGAAGATGCGGCCAGGTGAGGCCACGTGAGGGGCCAACCACCCGTCACACCCCGTCTTGTGCCCCTGCCTTTCTGGAAAGCTTTGAGATGTGGTGGGTAGAGCACTGGCCTTAGAGCAGGCTGCAAGCCCAGCCTCTGCCATTTGCCTGCTTTGTGGCCCGGACACGCCAAAGCCTCAGTTTGCTCATCTGTACGCTGGGGTTCCTGTGTGAGCACTTTATAGGACAACGTGCCGGAAGCAGCAGGTGTGTGTCCAGCACTCAGTACCTTCTCCCTGCCATTCCCCTCTCCTTTCCCCTTTCATTTGGCCTTAGAAAGTTAGAAATACAGTCACAGGCCACATAAGGATGCTTTGGTCAATGACAGACCGCATATACGACAGTGATCCCATAAGATTAGTACCATACAGCCTCGGTGTGTAGTAGGCTATACCATCTAGGTTTGTGTAAGTACACTCTGTGATGTGCACACAACAACGAAATCACCCAGTGATGCATTTCTCAGAACATGTCCCCGTCGTTAAGCGATGCACAGCTGTAGCTGGTCGTTCTTTGGTTATAGCTGCCTGGGTCAGCAGTTTCCTAGGGTAGCCACAGCAATATGGGCTCCAGAAGGCTGTATGTGTGCTCTGGTCCTCCGCATCTCTCAGCAGGACATATTCCACTGATTCTAAGGCAGGGAGAGGCCTGAGAGGTGGGGCCGGCCTTGCAGGTTACGTCTCCTGATCGCCTCAGACTGTCATTTCTACTCCTTGTCATAGAACGGTGTTAATTATAAACAGGATGTAACAGAAGCATGAGAGGAAACAATGCAGTCAGAATTCTACTGTTTTAATACAGCTATTTTGTTTTAATTTTTTGTCTTGAAAAAAATCAAACTTAAAGAAAAATGACAATAATAATACAATGAGCGGCTTTCTCTATATATATTTACATATTTTATAGTTATTTTAATTTTTAAAACTTCCCCTTCAGCTTTTCCATATTTGTATATATTTACCTGGCTACCATCTAGTTTTCCATATATCTTCAGTTTTTGTGTTATAATTTTTAATTATGAAATACTTTCCCATTATTCAGTGTACTCTAATTTTGAAGAGTTCATTCATTTAACAAGTGCTGTGGTTTTGAGGGTTTTGTTGTTGTTTTTCACACCCGTCATGTGGCTGGCGCTGTGCTCAGCGTGGGAGGCTTCCTGATGAGCGACACAGACCGTGGGAGACAGTCAATAACAAGAACTGGGGGCCACACACAGAGCCCCGGATGTGCCAGCGCTGTGCGGAAATTAAACAGAGGCTGTGAGGAGGAGGAGGGCAGTCCCGGCAGGCCTCTGTGAGACAGTGACACTAAGCTGACACCCAAAGCATAAGAAGGAGCCACATGAAACGCAGGGGCAAAGACATCCAGAGGGACGGGCCAGCAGCGGCCCAGGCTGGCGGGCTCGTGCTCTCATGAGCAGACCTGGGGCTGTGGGGCCATTTGGCTAGCAGTGAACAAGGACGTAGGTCTCACCACTGGCTTGCCTGAACTTGGTGTTCTTTTACATTAATTTCGCTCACTTAATAATAATAGAATGGTACAACTCTTTTAACTTCAGACAATTTAGTAGATTCCTAAAAACTTTTATAAAATTAAGCTTTTTTTCCTCAAAGGAAAATGTGCATAGTATAAAAAGCCAAATAGTGCCACAGGGCTTTTAACAAAAACATAAGTCTTGGAGCCCTCTCCTTTCTGATCTACTTCCTAGAAATAACCACTTTTAGCCGTTTTAGTGTTTACTGCTATATGTGTAGTGTGCTCTCTTAATTAATCAGTTTCGGGGATTAGGAGATGTCCTATGATGAGGCTTTTAGGTCCTTTATACTTTCCCATTCCCCATTTTCCTAATATGGATATCTTTTTTTTTTTTTTAATCCATCTTGTGTTTTCATTATCCTGATTATGTTGCTATTTTACTGCCGAGCTAAGACGTTTATATTTCAGTTCTTACACGGCTTTTATTTTTCTGGATATAAAGCCTCTTTTTCCTTTTCCTCTTTTCCCATTCCCCTCTCCTCCCCCATGCCACTTTTAGATTTAGACAGTTCATTACTTACGTAGACAGAGAAAGGAAGCATAGCCAAAGTCGCTAGCTCCCCGTGGTCCTTGTCCCATACCCAAAAATGATGACATTGAAACAGAAGGGGCCGGACGACCACGGCAGGAGCTGCGGGCCCCCCGTTGCTGAGCTGCCAGCTGTAGACTGCAGCTGAGCACCTTATGTTCTGCAGCTCTGTTCTTAAGGGAGGCAGAGCCCCATCCTGCACCAGAACCTGGGAGGCAGTGAGAAACTGTCTTATGACAGCCCCTGGGGGAGGTGAAGAGGGGAGGGGAGATGGCCTTGTAGCAGCTGCTCACAGGCCTGCGATCCTCTCGTGTTCCGGGAGGGTCACACGTTGTTCTGTTCAGCCCAGACTCAGGCAGCCTGCGTTCAAGCCTTCGCCTGTGCGGCCTGTGTGGACACAGGCAAGGAGCTGTTCTGCTACAGCCTCTCTAGCTGCTCTGTGCACTTCTCCACATAGTCAGTTGTCTCCCTTTCATACAGCTGTTCCTCCTGGAGCGGGCTGTCACCCTGCCCCACTGCTTGCCCTCTAGACCTGCAGGATAGGTAACTGTTGTCCTGAGCCCTCCCTGGGTGACAGTGATACTTTCGTGTACACTTTGTTCTCTGAGTTGGTTAGGACTCCTGTGCCTCTCCAGGGAAGTGAGCCGGCTCCACGGCCTGACGTGTGTCTTGCTTGCAGAGTGTGTGAACTGGAGGAGTTGGGGGATCTGTCCCCTTGCTGGGAGAGCCTCCGGCGCCAGATTGTCACTCAGTACCAGACTGTCATCCTCATATACCAGGAGAACCTGACCGACCTCCATCAGTACAAAGGTGGGTGCCCCGTCTCATCTTCATCACGGCTCGCATGCTCTCCATTTTCCTGGCTAGAAATCTGGAACCCAAGGTCGCTCAAATACTCTCACTGACAGACGCTCTAATGGACTTTTAAAAATAGATTCTTGTGTAGGTGTGAATTCTTTCAGATGTGGATTTTTCAGATCGTAATTAGGAAGACAAATCTGTGAATTGCCTTGACAATTCCTTCCATGGTGTTGTCTGCCAAAACAACAACTGTAGGATGAAATTTAGGACAGACCAAATCACAGGCTCTTGCTTACTGTTATTTCTTCATCTTGGTCTAATATCAGTGAAATAACCAAAAGCATGTAGGCCGTTTACCTTGAGACAAAGTGGTTTTCTAGATTTTCCAGTTTAAATATTCAATAGTACTTTTATTGAACATATAAGTTGTCTGAATGGGACTCTCCATTTTAAGGCTCAAAAGAGAATGTGAAGTACAGACACCTCACCTTTTCTTCTTGAAAAATGCCATTTGATTTTCAAAACACTTCTCACAGTAGATTTAGAAGACTATTCCTAACTCTATACCCTTTTTATTCCCTTTTTACTTTGTTTTGTTTTTTCATTACTTTATTCTCTATCTTTAGATTCTTCCCTCCTTCCCCTCTACATAATGGAATTTTAGGGTTTAAGGAAAATCACGCTTAATGTGATTTTGACACAGAACATGAACCTGTCCATGAACTTGGTTAAGCCAAATACAGGCAGGATGACAAGATGATGGTGCCCTGGGTTTGGTTTGAATCTCAAGAATGGGTCTAAGTGCATTTCTAAGAGAAATGGCAGCATTTGCCTGAAGGAACTTAGGGACCCACCTATGCTGGATGCCTGTTACCTGAGAAAGTCTGAAACCCACACACCTTGACTTTTCTAGAGCAGAGCTTCTCAAATGTCAGTGTGTACTTAAATCCCCAGAGAATCTTGTTAAAATGCATATCTGGGATTTTGCATTTCTAACAAGCTCCCAGGATGCCCATACTGCTGGTCTGTGGGCTGCCCTGTAAGTATCAGGCTCTGGAGAACAATCTGTGACAAATGCCAAACATAGATGACCTCTCGTCTGTGTTTTACTTTTTTTTTTTTTTTTTTTAAAGATTTTATTTATTTTATTTTTTGCCCCCAAAGCCCCAGTAGATAGTTGTATGTCATAGCTGTACACCCTTCTAGTTGCTGTATGTGGGACTCGGCCTCAGGATGGACAGAGAAGTGGTGCCTCGATGCGCACCCGGGATCCGAACCCGGGCTGCCAGCATCGCAGCGCGCGCACTTAACCACCAAGCCACAGGGCCGGCCCTCGTCTGTGTTTTATATATTGGCAAAATAAATGCACCCTTTTCACTAGATGGAATATTTATTTATTCCATTCTTCTGATTCTCAGTTTAATTTGTAATTCCTTTCTTTTCAATGCATGTGGTCCTTCACTTTATTAGTCATGGATTCTGATTATAGAAATAAAATTGTGGATATTTGTTACAAACTGTCATCCAACCTCCTTAACCACCCAAGTGTAAACAAGGGAATGTGTGTGAGCGTTTCAGAGGGCCGGAGTCCATGCTGTGTAGCATTTATTCATCTTGATAGGCCTGGGTGATGAGCAGACCTAGACGTCACTTTTTGGCATTGAGATGTGTTGCTCTGGTCGAACCAGTTTCTTAGATCTTGGATGGTGGCGGTCTCCAGAGTTGGAACAGGCAGTTCGTGGCGCGGACCCATTTGCTCTTTACAGTGGTGCTGACATTGTGCTGCACAAAATCACGTCTTTGTGTTAGACCTCTCCACTGAGAGCTGAGTCGTGGGAAGGCATAGCACTGTTAGCATAGCCTTCTGAAGCTGGTTCTACCCAGCTCTGTTCACTACCTAAGCAGCTAGAACCAGTCTCCTGGCCAGCGAGCTGCCCTCCCTTCAACATTTCACCCACCTGCTCTCTGGAAATGAAATGTGCTCATGGGCAACTCGGAATTTTCTAGACCACTACCAACACATATCTGCTTAGCTACAGCAGCATCCTCAAAATACCACTTTTCTACTTGCCATTCATGAATGCAGGATACGTGTGGATGATCTTTGTTTTCTCGTATTTTTTTTCTTAGGTCCCTCATTTAAAGCAAGCAGTTTGAAAGCAGACAAAAAGTTAGAATTTGTTCCCACAAACCTGCACATACAAAGGATGAGAGTTCAAGACGATGGAGGATCAGGTAACTCTTTTTCTGCCTCTCTTATTGAATCACACTTCACTTCTTTTCTCCCTGTGTTCTTGGTCCCTGCGCTGGCCCACATCTGCCCCAGCCTTTGCTGTGTGTTCTTCTGGGCAAGTTGGATAAGAGACGTGTCATAAGGACCTTTGTAAGGTCTTTGATAAAGAGCTCAAACCCCTTCCTCTTGTCTCTCTTCTTTCCAGCTTCCCTTTATGTTTGTGTGGCAGAAAGTTGCCCATCAGTCATCCTTCTGAAAGAGGGATGCAGGCTGAGTGTTGACGAGTAGTTGCCTCCAGCCCTGTGTGGCTCCCTCTTGAGACGTACAGAAGCCCCTCTCTGTTGAGATGATGGTGCTGGGCTCCAGAGGCCCTTGGACAGCCCGGGCCGTGGGGTGAAGGGAACCACAGGCTGCTTGGAAATGGGCTGGAGGGGCAGGATCCCAGAGTTGTGTGCATATCCCTGTAGCTGGCTTGTCCACAGGCCTGAGCCCAGAGTAATGGAGGAGAGCTTTCTGTCATTCAGATCAGAACTACGACATCGTCACCATCGGAGCGCCAGCAGCACACTGCCAAGGTTTTAAGTCAGGAGGTCTCCGTAAAAAGCTGCACAAATTTGAAGAGACCAAGAAACAGTAAGTTCTTGGAGGGTGTTTGTGGTCCTTGTACAGCTGTGGTGCTTCCTAGGTTAAAAACAAAATCAAAATGTGACCGCGAAAACATCCAGCCATCCGATCTGCTTTTGCGTGGCGGGAGGAGCTGCCTTGTGGACTCGGTGCTGCTCTGTGCGTGTGCGACTGAGCTGGGTGGGTGATGAGGGCACCTGGTTAGTGGTCCCGACCCTGCAAATGAACAGCAGATTGAAACCCACCTTGAGAGTGGTGCTTTAGGCGGCAGCCCGGTGTGGGTTCTCCGCTGGCTCGACTGTCCTTTAGAGTCCCTGCTCAGTCAGTGGAACATCACAAAGGGCGAAGCCTGGAAGAGATTGTTTCCTTTCCTAAAGGACTGCAGGGTGAACGTTCCCAGTTTTAAGAAGGCTCAAGGAGCTGCATGGAGCCACTGTCCTGAGCAGGCAATTGCCAAGTAGGCCGGGTGAGGAAGGGCATTGCAGAGCATGAAGTGAGGTGCGGCAGCGGCACAGCGCCTCGGGAGAGGAGCTGAGGACAGAGCTGGTCTCGTTGGCAGCCTGCTCAGTGTGGGGCCGTGTGCTGGGGACCAGGGATGCAGGGCTGGCAGATCTAGGCCTGGCCTGAGGAGATCCGGGCTTTGCCTAGGAGCAGACAAGTCAGCAGCACCGTTTGGAGCAAGCAGTGCCGTGCTCGGAAAGAAGGCAGAAGGTGCTGTGGAGTTTGGAGCAGGGCGGAGGGGAGAGAGTCGTAAATCCAAGCTGTTGTACTGGACGTACTGGAGGCACTGGTGATCTTCCAGAATGTCGCTGTCAAGGTTTAAATAGATCAAGGGATGCGAGAGTAAGAAGTGGAGGCGAGGAATGTAGATGATCCTGTTAAGATCCTTGGACGGTGAAATGGAGGAAGTAGCATGAAGGTCTCAGGTTTGGGGAGAGTGATTATGACTTGAGCATGTGTTTAGGCTGATGGGAAAGATGAAAGGGAATGAGGTAACACAGAAGAGAACGTTGATGGAGCAGGGTTCTGGAGACGATGAAAAGAGGCAGGGCCAGGCAGTTAATCCTAGAAGGGACAAGAGAAGTTCAAGATGGGGTTGCCGAGATTTTTGAGGTGATAAGGAAGGAATAAGCTGAAGGTATGATGGAACAGCCTCTGCAGAATGTGGAGTCGAAAGGATCAGACTTATCTATTGAGATTGGAACCCTTTGAGGGAAGGTGAAGCAAGAGCAGTGGGAGCGTCAAGAGAATCCGACAGGTCGGGTGGAGAGCGTCAGCACGTGGTGGGTGGAGAGCCAGTGGGCCATTGCTTGGCTCTGTGCTGCCGTGGCTGGGAAATCAGGAAGGGGGTGAAAGGTCAGTTACAGTGGTCAGTGATCAGGCTGAGGGGATCAGGGATGCAGCTACGAGTGTCCCTGACCGTGGGGCAGGGCTGGAGGGTGAGCAGGCGGGCGGAAGAGAGTGCACTGTGAGAAGTCACCATTGAGGCGTGTGCACAGGTTGCCCTGGAGTGAGTCCTGGACCGGAGGAGGAACAAGAAAGGGCTGTGGTTAGGAAGGGGAATTTCAGCCTTCAAGGCGAGGCAGCATTCCCTGGGAGGCACCCAGATGCCTTGATTCATCCCCACCAAGGGCTCTTCCCTGTGTAGACAAACCAGGTCACTAGACCCACCTGAAGATTCATTGATGCTGGTGTTCCTTTGGGAATTATGGTGAAGACAAAGCTTCCTGTGTGCACCACAGCTCTGCACAGCCAGCCCAAGATTGTGTGTCTGCTGCTCCATTGCATGTGGCTGTGTGGAGGTGTGAGCGTGCTATTTGAGGATGGCGTGGGGGCCAGTCAAGAGGGGATGCCACTGGCTGTCCCTGTCCCAGGAAGGTCAGGATGTTGATACCTGATTACTCTGCATGTTGACTTCAGGGCTTCTAATTCCCAAAATGCCTCTGTAGTATTTTTTGAATATATAAGATAAATTTTGATTTAGTTTCCTACTAATGTCATGAAACTACTTGTAGAAATGGTTTCATCATTTGAACTTCCCTTTAAGTGCACATGTCACTTGCTCATGAGTGGAATGTCTCCCTGGGGCTTAAGCACTGAGGTTGCTCTGATGAATAAGCTCCTTGGGCTCCTAAGTTTAAATGCCGCTGTAGTTGAGGCCTGAATAAATAATTTCTAGTATTTTGACAAAAGATAACTTGGCTTCTTAATTTTTTATTTTGCATTTGGTGTTTGCTAACAAACTGTTAATATTTCATTTTGGTTCTTTTCTTTAGCAGTTTTGAGGAGTGTTGGTGAGTTTTCTGTCTGTGGAGAGAGTGTCTGTTTGGGTCTTGCTCTCATGCAGAGAAAGCCTGTGCTGTCCGCTCCTCTGTGAGGTGCCTCACCCCTGGGTGCCACTGTGGGCTCCTAGTTACAGCCTCGTAGACAGAATTCTCCCTTCCAACTGCAATGTTCTTTGATAATGAATAGCCAATATCCAGTCTACTGTTTTACCTTTAAAATCTGGCAGCAGTTCATTGCTGTGCTCACTCTGAGAGAAGACCCAGTTCCGTTTCTCCCAGGATGAGGAAGAGCCCGGGCCGGGCAAGTCCCCAGGTGCTGGGGTTTCAGGTCAACCCATTGGTGCAGTTGGGAATCCTTTTCTGGCTTCTTGTACAAGAATCTGGGGCTTTTCAGTTTTCACGTCACCATCACCTCTTGTAGGAACGAAGCCAGCTTACATTTTCATGATACTTAATAGTTTATGCATATTTTTAAAACAGTGGTACTAGGGTCAGTTTTACCAGAATTAATATAACCAAGTGACTTTTTCCACCAAAGAATTAGGTGGCAGCCAGAAATCACCATGTCTGCTGCCTGGGGGTCCCCACTGCTGCCCCCAGACCCTCTCCAGTCATGCCCAAAGCACTTGCCCAGGCCCGGAGTGGGGGCTGTGCAGTGGCACTTCTTTTGGCAACAGGCCTGGAGGGACCTGCAGCCCCTCAAGAATTACTGCCATCTTGGAGCTGGTGAGGATCAGGGGCCACAGCTGGGCCTTGTCTGAGATGTCAGGGCTCTGCTGGGGACGTGTGACAGCAAGAAGTCCTGAGAAACACCTCTTCACCCCCCCAAGACCTTTTCAGCTTTCCCCATTTTTAGGACTAGGTTGAGCACACGTGCTCGTATATTCATGATCATCCCTGAACAGCAGCTCTTTGACGTTTATTCTTTCTCACCCCACCATATACTTCCCGTGCATAAGTCCCCGCTTACTGTTATTAGAGCGTGACCTGTAAGAACACAGGTGAGTGGGGGGTCATGCTTTTCTCTCGGACTTGGGGGAGGGTGTGTGTTTGTTGAGGTGTACACAGCCATCACACACACATGTAGATCTACGTGAAGCACACATTACTTGTATACTCTAAATAGTGGGGCCTATAGTAGGAAGAATAGATGTTTTAAAATTCTATTTTGAGATTGTATTTTTAAGACTAAATTGTTTTAAGTGGCAGCTATTCATTTGGAAGAGTGATTGCAGATTGGAAAGTAGTTGTGTGCACATCGTGCTGTGGAATGACTCTTGTCAGACCGTGTGGGCTTGATCGCGATCTGCTGCATGGGCTTATGGCAAATCCATCGTTTTTTATTGTGCTGTGTGGGCTTGGGTGTTGTTTCTTTCTGGGGTGCTTTGGTTTTCGGATTTTGCATGTTTATACCCCTTAGTCCATCAAGGGAAGGGGCAGAGCAGTTTCTTGGTGATCCGTCTTCAGAAAGAGCCCAGCAGGGAAGGTTTTCAAGCTCTGACCCTGTGACCTTCATCTCCAGGGGACGCGATGGAGGGTGTGGTCCTCCACTTTCTCCCTCTTCTCCAAAACCCAAAGGGCAGCTCTTTGAGGGGACCAGTGAGGGCCCATCATCCCATGAATGATGGGACATCCATTCCAGCCAGAGCTCACTTCAAAGTGCAGGAGGAGACATCCTCATTGGTGCCTTATACTTTCCCTCCCTACTTTCCTTGGCTTCCTTAGATGGTCCGAAAAATAAATTTATAATATTGGATTGATTTGGGATCTTAGCTGAGAGACACGCAATTTATCATCTCCATCTAGAGGGGTCAAACGCACTGGCCAGGCCCTGTGCAGCCAAGGATGTGGAGTTGGTTCTCTGGAGGGTAGTGTTGGTGCTGGGCAGTGGCTGGGCTGTAGCTTTGACCTCAGATCCTGAGATACACACTGCTCAGTGGCGAGGAGGTAGGGAAGGAGGAAGCACCAGGTTTTCAAAGCCATTGAGGTGTCCAGACCCGGCCTCTAGCTTGGCACATTCTCCACCTCCTCTTCATCCAGTGGAACGTTATTATTTCAAAGGAGGGAAGTCCTGGAGCAGGGGCGAGGGGAAGGAAGCCCAGTATTCTGGGGACCTGCTGGGGTCAGATGTGTGAGGGAGGAGAATTGTGGATCTGTGCACAGAAAATTTGGAGTCCTGATTGGCCAAATGAAAAAACAGGTTTCTTTTGGCAAAGTCCAGCACCCACTGCAGTCTCCTTCACTGGGATAAACTGACCCCTGCTGGTTTTAGCAGACCCCATGTCTCTACTAAAGTCCTGCTGAGAGGTTGACAGATGCAGTTCCTGGGTGAAAGGTTATGAGCATTTGGGTAATTACTGGGTTCAATATCTGTACACACATGTACATACACATGGTAAAAATACAGATACATACAAATATAGATAAAAGACTTAATTGTATTTTAATATTTCAAGGCTTCTACCATATAGGCAGAAAGGATCCCCTGAGATTTACTTTTGCCCATCAACAGCTCGACTGGCTAGGAAAACATCCCTGAGTATCAGAATGCTTTATTTTTTGTTGGTTCTGGACTGGGGTTGGGAGGATGCTGCCATCCTCATCGATTCAAGATAACCCCTTAAAATCTGATCTTTTCCTTTTCAGTACATCATCCAGCTGCCAGTCCATAATCTACATACCACAGGACATCGTCAGAGCCAAGGAGATCATTGCCCAGATCAACACCCTGAAAACCCAAGTGAGTTACTATGCAGAGCGGCTCTCAAGGGCAGCCAAGGATAGGTCTGCCACTGGCCTCGAAAGAACACTCGCCATCTTGGCAGACAAGGTAGGAGGGGCTACCCTGTTACATGTGGGGTCGGGGGGACCTTGAGTTTCTGGAAACCCCTGGATACCACATGTGTGCCTAGAGCCATCAACACAAGGGGTGACATTGAGATGACCCTAAAAATCTAGCTTCAGGTCGTTCCCACAAAGGGCCAGGGAGGTTTGGTGATTTGCTTGTGATCACAAGGCTGGACGGGGGCAGGCCAAGCTCAGAGACCAGGGCTCATGACTCCCCACTGTTGCTTCATGCAGATCTGTCTTCCAGCAAGTGCATGGGGGTCATTGTTGAGGCTGGGACAGTTCCACAGCTTTCTTAGTAGCTGCCTACTCAGTACATTTTTTGCCACGTTTCTATTAACTTGGAATTCAAAAAAACCAGAGTTATTATATAGACATATGATAAGAAAAGTACAGTTTTATTGGCTTACGTATAATCAGTAAACAGCTTCTAATTAACCATAATTTGATCCGGATTAAAAATATATAAATATTGGTCCATACTGGGGGAGTGGATACATCAGATCCTTTTGATGGATGATGCTTTTTCAAATTACTCAGTCTGTCTCTCAACACACACACACATGCATGCACACACAGATTCAGATCACGCTTCCCCACTCACACCCACTTTGCTGGGGTGAGGTGCTGTTCCTGATCAGAATGTGTTATATCCTTCACATGTGTTCACCCAGCATAAAGACTGAGACCTGGGGATTAGATTCACTTGGAAAAGAAAGATGATGTTGTCAGAGAAAAATTGTGAGCCCCAGAACTCGTATGGCGTACAGAATTCCCCAGATCCAGAAGTGCTGTGCCAGGAATCCCGCTGCCCAGAGCCCAGGGCTTCAGGTATTAGAAGCAAAAGATAAGGCTTCTGTGATTGAAGCAAAGTAAGGCCCGCTCCCTGGAATTAGAGGGGACAGCCCTGGAGGTCAGCAAAGACTGGGACACTGGGCTCTCTTCAGGCCCTTCCTCTAGCAATGTCAGGCTCAGAAGCAGGCCAGGGTCAAAGAATGTCAGAGATTTCTTGACCTCCCCTCATCCTCCTTGTGTTCTCCAGTCATCTTGTGGGAAATTCATGCTAAGATTCAGCCCCTCCGGTCATGTGGCAGCCCATAAACTCAGACATCCTGAGGGCTGCAGCTCTTGAGTTGTGTGCACCGTGGAGAAGGGCGCACAACCGGGCCTCAGGCCAGTTCTCGTGCTCTCAGAGAGGATAGCCCTTGCAGCCCGTCACCTGGGGGCTCAGCGGCCTGGGTTTGTGTGCACCTGCAGACCCGGCAGCTGGTCACCGTCTGCGACTGCAAGCTGCTGGCCAACTCCATCCACGGGCTGAACGCGGCACGGCCCGACTACATTGCCTCCAAGGCCTCCCCCACCTCGACTGAGGAGGAGCAGGTGATGCTTAGAAACGACCAGGACACCCTCATGGCCAGGTGGACGGGGAGGAACAGCCGGTCTTCTCTGCAGGTGGACTGGCACGAGGAGGAGTGGGTGAGTCTGCTGCCCAGGGCCGTCATCCTGCTCCTGAGCTGGAGTTGAAAAGGGCGAAGCCTCTTTTCCCCTCAGAGGTGCCTAGAGGGTTGGCTGCTTTGCAGGCAGGCTCCAAGTCTCCTTCCCAGTGGCTCTTGGGCCACCTGATCTGGGGAGGGTAACAGTATTTTCACACCTGTGTCCACCTGAAGAGCAGGGCTGCTGTGGGCTGGGCCGGTCTCAGCCCTGGTTGTAAAGGGGGCAGTTTTCTCCATGGAGCCCTTGCCCTGATGGAGGCTTCCCTCCTCTCGCTGGTGTCGGGGCCCACTCCGGCCCCTCGCTACTTAAGACCTGCCAGGCCTCTCCTGCTTCCTCAGTGCTCCGCTCGAGGCTGGCCCTTCCAGGGCTATTGTATTTTTGGAGATGTGGGAGCTCAGGTGCGGGGCAGCCAGGTGAGGGTTTTGGAGATGTTGCCCCAACATCGCATCATGTTATTGCTTCCTCATAGTCGGCCCTGAGAGCAGGATCTGTGCCTCCTGAGGGAGTGACTTGTTTTTGTCATTTGTTGGGACTGCTGCTTAGAGGCGTTGTTCTGGGAGTCACTGAATTGTTAGTCAGCAGTGAAATGCTCCCGCAGCCCTGCCCAGCATCCTGCATTCTGTGTGGGTTTCTGCACATCCCTCCTAGCCCTCCCTCACCTCCTCCCCACCTCCCCCATCTTAAGTGATCAGCTCTTTCCCTTCTCTTCCATCCAAGGAGAGCTCTGTGTGTGATGGCTGTAGCAGGTCTGCAGCGGAGGGAGGAGGGGGTGAGACTGGCTCTCTGGGCCATGTGGCCCTTCTGCCAGCATGGGAAGGCCCCAGGAAATCCTGTCTGGCCTCCATGGCGGTTGCTAGCAAACTCCTCCCAAACTTGAAGAACAATGACTACAGGACGTTGACTTGTCTTTTGAAAAGCGAATACAGCTTTACTGGGGAATTCTGAATGATCTTGATCTTTCTAAATCGTGTGGTGTTTTAACGAGCACGGTGGCGGGGTAGGGGATCAGTGAAGGGTGGTTTGGTCTGTGTTCTGTTCTGTTTTCCCCATTGGGAGAGCTGACCCAAATGGGCCCTTTTGGTTTGGAAGGAGAAAGTGTGGCTGAATGTCGACAAGAGCCTAGAGTGCGTCATCCAGCGGGTAGACAAGCTGCTGCAGAAGGAGCGCCTGCATGGCGAGGGCTGCGAGGACGTCTTCCCCTGCGCCGGCAGCTGCACCAGCAAGAAAGGTAAACGGGCCAGCCACGCCTACTGGATCAGACCGGAGGACCCCTTCTTCGATGTCCCCTCCTCGCCACGCCCCTCCACCATGCCCTGTGCCGCATGCCGTCCTCACCCGGCCACACGTGCGTATGCATCCGTGCTTCTCACCCGCCCCGCCTCCACCTCACGCTGCATCACTCTGTCCGTCTGTGTCTCTAACCGCCTCCCCCACGCAGACTGCAGGGAGGGCTGTCAGGCAGAGTCGGGGTGTAGCGCTGCATGCCGCAGCAGGCAGTGAGGGCAGAGGCTCCCGTAGGCTTCGTGCCCGTGGAGGCCGCGGGAGAATCTGCATGTCTGGCAAAGGCATACTCCCAAGGCCCTCCTGGGTCACATTGCCACGGCAGTAAGGGTTGGGCTCCCGGGCCTTTCTGGTTTGTAAAGCAGTCTGAGAACCTGAAGGAGAACAAAATGCGGATGTCTTTCTGATAAGATTGTTTATTGCATTAGGAATTGGCAGAATCAAGGAAAAGGTGAACGGTGCAGGGACACGGCTGGATGAGAGCTGCTGACAGGCTCAGTGGACTTGTCTAAAGGCTGCTTGTCACTGGCTGGGCGTGCTCTTATCCAGCAGAGGCACGTTGCCTTGGGACTTGTCGGTGACTCAGATGGTAGAACCCACTCCTGTGCCCCTGGGGGCTGAGTTAGGTTCCTCTCTCTGGCACCACTCTAAGGCGGGACTCTCAGTAGGTGGTAGGACGTTGGCTGAAGCAACACGCTTCAGAAATAGTCCTCTGTGGAGACACAGCGTAACCAGACGCCCTGCCCTGCTTATAGCCTTCAAGATGGGGATGATGCTTTCTAAAAGACCGCATCCTCGGTCTCTGCAGCTCAGGGCCTTCCGTCTTTTCATGTAAGAACTAGAGGGCGTTATAGGCCAGGCATCTGAGACCCAGCTGCAGACCGAGCTTCTGCCTCCCCTTTGCTGTTCTTTGGGAGCATTAAGTCGTGGTAAGTAAGGCCCAGATGCGCCAGGGTGAGGCTTCGTACAGCCAGGACTTGTAATTTTTGAATTGGGCAACTTTCATTCAAGACAGAATTGTGCTCCTTCATCCAAGCCTCTTGATAAACTCTTCTTCATGTGTAACATGCCGTCACCTTTTTAATCTGCCTGCAGTCTGTCTTCCGGGCACTGTTCCCTTGCGTCTCTGTTTCAACAGTGTTCACGTCTCCACTTTTCCATCTATGAGGGATTATAGTGTCAGTTCCCCACACCTGTGATTGGTTCATGGAGCTATTTTGTCTCTGTTCGTGTTCGCATTTTTTTTTAATGTAAATTGTGTTTTGAAAAAATTCTGCAAGTTCGTTGCTCATTTCTCTTTAATGTTGTCTTGCTTGTAACTTAAAATTTTGTCTGCAGTTATAAAAAGCAATTTATTGGATGTTTTTAAATGCAGGAGATAGTTTATTTAATCAGACATACTGTTATATCCATAACTTAAATGTCCTTTTTTTCTAGGCGTAACCCATATTGTTCAAATATGGACAAATTTAAATGCAGTTTTGAAGTTATTGAAATGAGCATTTATTTGTGGTATTTGGGGCATGACTGGTGATTGTGTGTGCCATGCAAATCAGCTATGTTGTGATCATGGGAATGTGAAGCATACATTTGAGAGAGTCTAACTCTGCTGATCAGAATTCAGAGAAATGTATGAAACCATATGCCACTAAATTAACCGGGGATGGTCCTTGATTAAAAAGTCTTGAGCATAGCCTGGAAGCTGTTCAGACCTAGGTGTGATCAGGAGGATCAGAAAGAGCCAGACGCTGAGCCATTCATTTTACTCAATCTCTTGTCCTCCAGGCCAGGGCTGGGTTCTGTCATGACTTTTTATACCATTCCAAATTCCTGGGGTTGTGGTTTTGGCCTAATGAGCAGATTATGGTCACACCAGCATATTTATTACATATGACCAACTCTGTGCCTCTTCGAAAGGCATCATCACTTTTCATTCCAATTCTCTACCCTGTCCTGGGTCCTTGGTTTTCATCCTTCACCAAGGAGTTGCCCTGCCTCTCTGCTTGCCCTCCAGCAGAACTGCTCAGAGCCTTACCTGGTGGGCAGGGATCACCCAGTGCTGGGGCTCTGCAGGACCCGCTGACAAGTCCCTACCAGCGGAACCACAGAGGCTCCATGAGCCTCTCTCTCCTCCCCATTTTCCCCACAGGTGCCCCATACCCCTTCTACCGCCGCCACCCACCTGCCAGGATTTGGTGGCTTCCATTGCCTTCCACACACACACTCTCTTGCTCTCCTCATCCGAGAAGAGCTGTTCAAACCCTGACCCAGGTTGTTCTTAACCTGAGGTCTATGGGTTGTACCCCAGGTTCATGTGCCCCTGAGGTTATGTGCTAAAATTTGCATGTTCATGGAGAAAATGTCCATAGTGGTGATCAAATCTCAAGGGACTCTGTGACCTAAGACAAATTATAAGCCACTAGTCCAGGAATACCAGAGGAGACCCCTCTTCTCCTGTTTGATTGAAAGATTGAATTTACCCAGCCGGCTTTAACCCTGATCCCTTCTCAGGAAAGGTGCCAACCTCGCTGTTTGGGGTCACCATGGAAGATCATAAAAACAGGCTCCTGGACCTTCCTCCTCATTCAGACTTGGAATCTTGGACGAAGGGTTTTGGGGAGGCAGAAATCTGTATTTCTTTCAAGGCCTGAGGCAATTCTGATTAGCCAGACAGATGTTTAAGAAGCAGTGCTCTGCATCGCTCCACATTATTGTGGGTTTCCGTCTCTGTTAGGCAGATGTGCTCAGGATATTTGGGCTCTAATGAAGAGGTTGAAGTCTTCACCTCATAGAGGCCTTTAATTTTTCTCTATTTCTATCCCCTTTGCCAGTTTAAGAAGTCATTGCCAAAGATAATTAGAGAGGAAGGATCCCTTGCCACCCCATTTCTGGACGATTCAAGTTATAAAAGTCTCCGTAACGCTGGTTTTGACTATTCTTGGGGATCTGAAACTACCTATTTTCAATACCCTGAAGATATTTGTTGAACTGAAAAGTTTAGGCACAAAATAAAATAAACTTTTACTGCAAATGATCCCTTTTCAAACTTGTTTTCTTTCAGGTGGCACACCCAGTAAACCAGAGATTTCAGAGTTTTTAAGGGAAATGTGAAATTGAAATGACTACTTCCCATTGTGACTCAGTGTAGGCGAAACTGAATTAAAATTTGTATTCTTTTAGAGACCTGTAGGGACATTCTAATTCTAGACTTCTCCCAAGTCATAAAAGTTTTGTATTTGGTTTCAATTTTAAAGATTGGCCTAGATGTTTTTTGGTACATTGGTTTCCTCACTGAATCCTAACCTTTTGGATCTCAGCGGTCAATCTTTAGCCCAGGTTCCACCAGTCAGGGCAGTGGCTCTGACCTGGGAACGCTCAATTTACTGGCCAGTCTCTCTCTTTACAAGTTTGCTTCCAGATGTGGTGAGCCAACATGGGGCTCTGCCACACACAATGTGATCGATGTGGGCGCTTGATCACATTGTAATTTGTTAGTTTGCTCATCCTGAAGAGCATTTTATGTTGAAGTATTAGCAACATGAATGTTTACGCCGGTGAATCCAGCAGTGTTTACCACCAAGAGAGTTTGGCTGCCCAGGAGGGCCTTCTCGCGCCTTCTTGGGAAAGAGGCAGGCAGGCCCCGACCTCTTCTGTTTGGTTTAGCCACCTTACTGCCAGCTGCTGATGCACTTGCTCCAAGCGTTGAGTTGTTCGTGTTTGAACTGTGTGCTGCTCCTTAATCATCCGTGTCGCCCTCCATTTCTGTGCAGATTGCAGCCCCCCTCCTGAAGAGTCCAGCCCAGGTACGTGGTTTCCGTTCAAGGCTTCTGCAGTTGTCTTTTTAATACTCAGCTAGCGTTTGTAGCTAAATATGAAAGATTACCTTGTTCTCCCAGAGTTAGGAAAATATTTTAGGAGTTTCTTCATTGTGAGGTATGTAGCAGTTTTTCTTAGAGTTGGTGAGAGACCGGTTGGGTTGGGGATGGTGGCCTGAAGCAGGCTACCATATGCATTTTTTTCACTTTCCCCTCCTAAAACCTTTCAGATGGTTAATGCTGATGAGCGTATTGGGCTTCCTGGAGTGGGTGACCTGATTTAGAGAGGTCCATGTTTGTAAATGGTGCTTCCTGTGATTTCACCTAAACTTGTGCACATTACATGGAGGGGATGGTCAGATCCCATGTAGCCACCCAAACAGTGTGACATTCGCAGTCACACAGCATCCTCTCTTCTGAGTCCAGGTGCAGCTTTAGAATTCTTACCAGGCGTTGCTATGGTTTCAGTTGGAGTTAGCGCTAGAAATGGAATCTTTTTGCTGTATTTGCATGTAGAAATCCATGTTTATGGCTCTAGTTCAGGGGTCGGCAGACTGCAGCTCTGAGCAGAGTCCCGTCCACCACCTGTTCTTATAAATAATGTTTTATTGGAAACCAGTCACACCCGTATGTTCACATATTGTCTGTGGCTGCTTTTGTGGGGCAATGTCAGAGTCAAGTAGTTGCGACAGAGACCCCGTGCCTTCAAAGCCTGAAATATTTACCGTCTAGCCCTTTACAGACAAAGCGTGCCGACCCCTGCTCTAGTTCATAATGGGTTTCCTGGATATGGCTTGTGGTTTTCCCAGAGTGAGCATGAGACCCCCAAATAATATGTTTTTTTCTTATACTCTAAAAAACAGCTACATGATCAGTCTGATGATTACGTATTTCTGACTGGATATAAATATGAGATAGCAGGACCCCTGCTTTATGTCTAGAGTGCAGCAAATCGGCGATTGTGGGATTTACCAAACTGTTCCCGTCAGTTAGTGTATCCTCTCAGCTTGCACAGCACTGAGATTTCAGCTGAGCTCACCGTGGTGACTCCTGGCAGCAACCCCCAGAACCCAGTCCAAATTAGCTCATCAGCAGGCTCATCTGATGGGATACATCATATCCACCCCCCCCCCCCCGATTTGCTTTCAGCCCCTTTACACTTTCTCTTTCCCCATAAAGTCAATGTCGGGTCTCAGAGCCCAATACCCTGCACTCTCAGGGCCACTGAGGCCTTAGCAGATGCACAGGTAATAACCGTGGTCCCTTCCTCCTGATGGCCTCTCCTGGCCCTTCTGCCTTCTCCTCCTTTGTGTCTGTCTCCAGTCATCCAGTCGTCCTCACCTTTCCTCCATGGCAGGTCAGTGCCTTCACACTGAGCTGATTTCCCCAGAGCCTCAGCGGTGGGGAAGTCCAGGACCATACCCAGCAGTCAGGTCCAGGAACGGGTGCGGCCACATCATCAACCCACCCCCTAGAAGCTTAGGGGTTCTTCTCAACTCTGGGTGTCCTGAAGCTTATAGAGCTACTGGGAAGACTAGTGGGTTCCCAAGCAGCATAGACAACGCCTGGCTTGTAGAACTCTCCTTGTTTTATGCCATTTCCGGAAGCATTGGTGGCTTCTCCACAGGTGATGTCAAATGGTCTAAAATGGTCCCCTGCCAGGAGTTCCTTTGGCTTTTCCTGCAGGGCTGTATTTAATCTGGGTTGAAACACAGACACATTTTCTCTCTCTCTTTCTCTTTCTCTCAATCTCCCTCCCTCCCTCCCCTGTTAATGAGAAAAAATGCAAAAACAACATATGGGCTTGAAAGAGGCCTTCAAAGTTATCTCAAGTAGAATGGTCCGTGGATTGGCTACTAGTCAGTGAATGTTACAGGTTAGCAGCTAGATAAGGAGCTTGCCCCAAAGGGGAATCAGCTACATCACCAAGGACACTTGTTTAGTCGCTGATATTTTTTTCATAGCAAGACTTTCATGGTGAAGGAAGCAGGGCGTAACCCCTTCATCGACCCTAACATCTCGGATACCTTTACTTAAGTAAAGGTCTCGGGTAGAAATCTCGTTACTGTCCCTGAATTTCATTTTATTTGGAAGTTTTTTATTTTAGTTTTTTCTCATATTGACCCAAAATGTATTACCCTCTACCCCCTACTCTCTACCAGCAGAAGCACCTGACGTACTAGAAATAACATGGGGTTTAGAGTCAGTCAGACGTGTACCAATGCTGGCTCTTTGTGTGTGTCTGTTGACCTTTCTGAGCCTGTTTCCTTACCTGTATTACTGACCCTGTCTCTGTGGGTTAAATGAGAAAGCAGTTCTAAAGCGAAGCACTGGTAGGGATTGCAGAAATGGTGGTCGATACTGTTATAGACTCTGGAGCCATCCAGACATGTCTGAGCCTTCCTCTGGGCAGATGTAGACCCTCCTCCCCGAGGTCCACATCTCCTTGTCTCTAGGACACACACTTAGTGCTTTTTAACCATTCTTCCTATGTGCCAATTTTTTCAGTGTTTTTTTTTTCTTCTTCCTAATGTAGCAAAACTCGGAGTCATTCTTATATGGATTTTTTTGAAAGAGAAGTAGGCAGAGTCAAAAACTGTTGTATGGAGAGGGCTCACTTAGTCAAATATGACCACTTGTATATTCTGATCATTTTCAGGTTAAGATTATCATGATTTGCATATTAATTACATATGTATGTGCATATTAAGTGGAAAAACAAAGTAAAATTGGCAACATTTGCTCTAAGAGCATTTACTTCTCAGTGAAAAATAGTCTTAATGACTGCCTACCTTTCCCCAGACTATTTGGCTATTATGCTATTGACCATCTTTGATAGTTGGCTGAATATAATTGACATTCATTCAACAGAGTTCTTCAGAGAAACAAAAACATGTCTCTAAGAATTTTAGAGGAGGAAAGGGACTTGGACATTATCTAGCACAGCACTCCCATTTTACCGGGCAGGACCCATGTGGCTGAGGGGTCAAGGGACTTGCCCAGGGCCCACCACTTAGCGGCAGCTGGGGCCTGGGACTCACATTTTCCACTCCTCAGTCCAATGTTCTTTTTCACCGCACTTTATTTGCTAAGACCTTTCTGCTGTAGACTTTCTAAATTTAAGCCTGCTTTTTTCCATTACAGATATAAATCCATGCCCACGTACAGTGTGCCTGCATGTACAGTTAGATCATGTCCACATTTTGAATTGCTACATATACTTGCAAATCTACGTTAACCAAACACTGAATATAGGGAAGTCCTTTTACAGGTTTCAGTCATTTCTCTAAATTTGTTTCTCAACAAAGTGCTAAGCGTACAGTTTGAGAGAGCAGAGCCACATCTGCCTTCTCTCTGGTTTTTAGATTCTGTTGATCTAAGACAGAGCTGACCCTTCTGGCAGCTGCACTGCTCACGTGGCCCCGTGGCCTTCCCAGAGTGCAGTGACATTTGTGGGCATTCTGTGGCTCGCACCCTCATCCTCAAGGGGCTTCACTCCACTGCCTCTGCTGCTTTTGGGGTGGAGGGCTCGCCCAGCAGTGATGGCCAAATGCTTATTTCTGGGCTTGGTAACCTGTTGAAAATGTACCTGATGAGGGCATGTCTTCTCTCTTTTTAATGTCTTCTAAATAGGAAGGAAAAAAAAGAGCCAAAGCCAAAAATACCTTTCACTCTATTTATCTCCCCTGAGGTTCTATTTTTAAGAAGTTGTTTTGGTACAGGGTCAGAGTTTCCTTGTATTCCTAAAAAAAAACTAAGCTAGAAAAAGATGGCAGTGGGCAGGAAGTTGGGGGGTGGGGAAGAAAGTGAGTGCACAAGGCAGGGACGTTCTGAGAGCTGAAAACACGGGAACCGTGTGGAACGGTCTTCCTTCCAGATGTGCAAAGTGAGAATTGAGCACAGTTTCACAAAGGCTGGAGGAGGGTGGAGGTGTCCTTTGCTCTAGAAGGACAGGGGTCTCTGCCTTAATGCCTGGGTCAAGTGAAGCAAGAGAACATGCCACTTTTCTGCTGCCCTTCTCTTCCCGGTGGAGGAACGGTGGGGCTGTGGAAGGGGATTGGCCTCTGCAGACAGAATAGTTTTCTTGCTTCTGACTTGCAGAAGCTTTTTTGCTATTTTCCTCAAAAGGAATAGTCTTGAGTATTTATGTGTAGAGTCCCTAGTAGTTTCAGGAGACCAGGCATGTGTCAGTGATCCCGTAGTAGGACTGATGTTTGAGTTTACTGGAAGAGCTTCAGGCTAGAAGGTTCGAGACTGGGTTGCTTCCAGGCAGAACTTGATGCCAGTTCTAGGCGAGAGCATGGGCCAAGCAGAGTTAGAAGATCCAGAGAGGGAGGAGAGGGGGAGTGGAGAGCACAGCACAGTACAGGGGCTAGGGGACAGGTAACTTGTTAAACTTTCAGAACATAATTCTTAGAATCTTCCTTCTAAAACGATGCCGTCCCTCGTGCCCAGGTGAATGGAGCGAGGCCCTTTACCCGCTGCTGACCACCCTCACAGACTGCGTGGCCATGATGAGTGACAAGGCCAAGAAGGCGATGGTCTTCCTGCTCATGCAGGACAGCGCTCCCACCATAGCCATGTACCTGAGCCTGCAGTACCGCCGCGATGTGGTCTTCTGCCAAACCGTAAGCCCCGGGGGTGGCGCGCGGGAGGCCACGGACACCTCCTGCCTCAGAAAAACAGGTGTAGGAAGCCTGTCCCTCTCGCTGCACGCTGGGAAAACTGTAGATGGCAGTATTTTCTCCTGCCTGTTGCTTTTAGATTTATTTACTAGAGAAGTCTAGATTTCCACACGGAGGGAAGAAACCTACTGGATCCGAGTGTGTTTTGGAGGGGGTCTGATTCCACACTTGCTTCTCCCTGAGGAGCTGGCGCTGACGGAACACACATGTCTGCGACTCCTGCAGCGCAGAGGTGGTGGGGTTGCAGATGGCATGGGCCTCTTCGTAGCCTCTTTTTCTCCCCCAGCAAAGGAGTTTAATGAGGGAGACACGGGTGTTTGCAGTCTGTTTTCTTGTTCATAAAACAGCAGGTGCCTGAATTCTGTAGCTCATGCCCAACCCTGTTTTAATCATTTCTGCTATCCTTCAGAGAAGGGGAGAACTGAAATGAATGTCACCACTTTAGTAGATGCCAGTAATCGAATTAGCAGAGTGAGCAGTGACTGAGGTTTGGGCTGGTTCTCCGCAGTTCCCCCACCCATCCTGATGAGGCCCGTTTGACCCCACAGAACACCTTCCACTGAGGAAACTCGCGGAGTGACCATGTTGTCGCTCACTCTGTTCTTTGTTGTGATCACCTCGGTTTGCAGCCAGAGCTGGTATGGGTCTGCGAGTATCTAGACTCTTTCACTGTGGGGAATTAATTCTGGGCTTCCTGAAGGTTCTAGCCCAGGAGTAACCCCAGGCAGGTCAGGTCAGAAGCTGAACCAAAACCAAACGGGCCTTTGGGAGCAACAGAAGCAGGAAGCCTGGGGCTCTGCGCGCCCTCCCCTCTCCATGGCCCCAGAGGCAGGCGCTCCCTGCCCTCAGACCCCTGGGGGTTGGGGGTGGCGCTGCTGCAGCCCTATTAGAGCAGTGGAAACAGAGGATCTTGGGGCCCAGGGCACGGCACGAGCCAACCGCCATTTGGCGAGGAGGTGTCTGTCCCCCACAACTGCTCTGCCACATGTCCCCCCACAGCTGACCGCTCTCATCTGTGGCTTCATCATCAAGCTGAGGAACTGCCTGCACGACGACGGCTTCCTGCGGCAGCTCTACACCATCGGGCTGCTTGCCCAGTTCGAGAGCCTGCTGAGCACCTATGGTGAGACTCCAGGCCCCCACACTGTCCCCTGGACCCTGGACTCCCAAGCAGGGCGGACGTGTGTGATTCTCGTCCTTGCTTCCTAAAGACTTTTCTGATTACACAAGTAATATGTGCCGATTGAAATAAATCCAAACATCACCTCAATATGTAACAAAGAACCAAATAAAAGCCCTGTATAGCTACCCACGCCCCCCCTTAGCATTTTGGTGGTGGTGTCACATATCCTGAAGATCTTCCTAGCTGAGGATGGATGCTAATTATTTAAGCAGTAACTTCCTGTCGGACGTGGGGCCTCTCTGAATTGCCTCCGTTAGAGCAGTGCTGCCATACGTCTCTGCACGTGAGTCTTTGTGCGCTGTGGACCCATTTCTGCAGACACTAAATTAATAGAAGGAAAGTCACTGGGTCAAAGGGTGAGAATGTTCTTAAATTTCATAGATGTTTCCAAATTGCTTTCTAAAAAGTTTCTCTTCTCCCTACCTTCATTTTCTATTTATTTCTGCTGAGAAGGTAAAAATGGATAATTTTTTAAAGTATTTGTTAATCTTTGGAGTTATAAAACATCAAATAAATATCAAGTCCTGTGTAATGGAAAGATCCGGCCACAATACACTGTTTGTTCTCTCTCTGTCCATTTCTGAGGAGCCAGCTTTGCCTTCTGAGGCTCCGTGCATGTCGATTTCTCTCCCTACACTTTCCTTGACCAGGAAAGGCTGGGAGGTATGACACGTTTCTAGCAGGTGCGTTTTTTAATGCAGCCGTGGAGCAGTGTTTACTCACGGAGAAGTGAGTCTCCTGGTGGAGAGGCTTGGCGGGGCCCCTCCCACGTTCCTGCCCCCTCTCATCACATCCTCGCCTGATCTCATCACCTTCTGTCTACGCCCAACTCTGTGTCCCTGCTGAGTCCACAGGAATAGGGGCAGGTCCCCTCTTCCTGACAGCCCTCCTTCCCTCTCTTGCCTCCAGGTGAGGAGCTGGCCATGCTGGAGGACATGAGCCTCGGAATCATGGACTTGAGGAACGTGACCTTCAAAGTCACTCAGGCCACTTCTAATGCATCAACTGACATGCTACCCGTCATCACCGGAAATCGGTAGAAATAATTTTTTAATTCTCAAACTAGCGCAGTGTTTTAATTTATGTATGTTATGTGTGATGTGCTCTTAATTTTTGTTTTATTCCATTTCATTCAGTTAAAAACGCTGATTGACGTTAATTTCACATCCCTTTAAAGGTTCATGACCGGCAGTGTGGAAATCACTGAGCCAGACGGCCAGTCCACACTCCTGAAGGGAGACGAGCTTGGTCTTCCTCTTCACACACGCCTCCTCCCCCGTCTCCCCCGTCACAGGCCTGACCCCGGCTCTTCCTCTCTCCCCTGTTTTCCAGCGACGGGTTTAACGTGCGGATCCCTCTGCCGGGCCCCCTGTTCGATGCCCTGCCCCGGGAGATCCAGAGCGGCATGCTGCTGCGGGTGCAGCCCGTCCTCTTCAACGTGGGCATCAACGAGCAGCAGACTCTGGCTGAGAGGTACGTGCCCGGCCCTCTCGGGAGCCACAGTGGCTGGAGTGGCCATTGAGATGATGTAGAAAACATACGTGCCCTCTGTAGGCTCCGAGTGCTGTACAGGCTTTGGTATCCCTTCCTTCCTTTGGCCAGCATTCTTGAGGTGCAGCCATATACCCGGCCCTTTCTTTGGTGCTGGGGACACAAAGATGAACCAGACGACATGGTCTGTGTCCTCAAGAGACTTGGGCTGGGAGGAGAGAGATGTGAGTGCAAGAATGAAGATAAATGCAGAGAGTAGGGGCCCTAACGAGGGCTGAGAGGGTCTGTGAGGGCTTCCTGGACCAGTGATGGCTGAAATGGGTTTAGAAGAGTAAGTAGGAGTTAGTCAGATGAGGAAATGGAGGAGGGACCTGGTGTCCCAGGCTAGGAAGCCAAGCAGAGGCAGGTGGGGAGAAAGCGCGTGGGGGCCGGAGGCCCACGTCGCAGGAAGGAATGGACAGTGCTGAGGTTAGAGAGGCCGGTGTGCCAGGCCGCAAGCTGTGCCTTGATCCTAAAGGCCTGTGCCTTGTAAACTCCCTCCAGGGTCACCAGCCAGGCAACAAGGAGGAGTCACATGTACCCATGTGTGCAAGCGTGTGTGTGCATGTGTATATGTGTGTTGGGGAGGATGGAGCTTGGATGTGTATAGCCTATAATGGCCTTCCATTACTACATGAAAATCTTTTCTATTTTATCATTTGCATTCATGTGATGTATGTGTTTTAGTATAAAAAAATAGAGTACTTGCAGTTAAGGAAATTTGGTCTCTGGCATGATACGCCGTATTCCTGCTGGGCCTTTTGAACCCAATGGTCAATGTCCACTGACCCCTAGGTGTAGTGTCACCTGCACTTAGCAAATGTGGTGTGGCTGGTGGGAGACATGGAAGAACTTGTAAGTAGGGCAGGACACAATCAGATTTAATTAGTCTTAAGTAGATGATTTGCTGGCCGTGTGCTGTCAGATGAGGGAGATGAGTGTGATGTGAGGGAGATGAGTGTGATGAGGACTCAGGTTGTTGGAAAGATTCCAGGCCAGAGGCAGTGACCTGCACCAGGCAGGGGTGGTGTAGATGGAGAACTATTTTGGTGGTAAAATGGAAGATTTGGTCTTCAGTTGGGCAGGGTGTGAGAGAGAGCCAGTGAGGAGAGTGGACAGACCCAGGTTTCTAGATCGGTCGTGAGTGGATGATGCCACTCACTGACCTCAGCAACTAGAGGAGGGTCATACTCAGGGCAGATGGAGGGCTGGACTCAGGCTGAGGGCACCAGCCCAGGAAGCGGAGACCTCTAAGTTGTGAGCAGAGCTGAGGAGCCCACTTCAGGGGGGAGGGTGGGTAGCATGGGGGGCCCAGCACGGAGGTGTCCCAGGGAGGAGAATGACATCCCCTGCATCTGGCAGCTGCTGTTCCTGACGACTCGGCAAGAGCGGTTTCTGGAAAGGGTTGAAGCAAGGCCATGTCGCAGTGAGCAGAGGGCCAGGTGGAGGGGGCCGTGACAGTGGGGGTGGGGAAGACTTGGAGAGGGCAGGCTCTTTGCTTTGCTGTTCGTCTGCTCCTGGGACACTCTCCCCTCAGCTCATCAACAAGCCCAGCTCACCAGTGTCCCAGGGGCAACCCCCAAGGGAGCAGGTGTCTAGAGGAAAAGCCATCGTGGGCATCAGGGGTGGACGGGCTGTGGTGGACCACGGGAGGGAGTCCTGCCCTCTGAGGGATGATGTGGGACCACAAAGAGGCTGATGCGCAGGAGGTCACTTGGCAGGGAGGTGGTGGAGCTGGACTGGGCAGCCTGGCCCTGGACTTCAGAGCCGGCATGTTTTAATGACCGTCTTGCGCTTTCCTTGTGGGTGGCTTTCCACTGCGTCTCCCTTATGCATCTGGCGCATCCTGCCTGCCTGCCAGGTGTCCACAGGGTGAGCCTGCATGGTGAGAAAAGAGCTAGCACCTCACGCATGGTCCAGGAGGAACAGTTGGTCAGGTCTGGTCATTCAGCAAGCAGGGGGACTTCAGATTCAAGTACAGGACCGTGTCCTCACTCCCTAGCATAACTCCACTGCCCTCCCCTCTCCTAAGCACCTCGAGGATGAGAAGACACGAGGGCCCCCAGCTGAGCGTCCGTGAGAGGGGTTCCTCTGCTGCAGCAGGGTCTGGTACGGACAGTCTGGCTCTGATGGTCTCTTAGGCACATCTGTGACAATTATGCTGGTTCCTGCTACTGAAATGTATTTGAACTTGTCACCAACACAGTAGAGGTCACTTTATGCTAGGGAAGGGGAAGGTGGCTTAGAATTCAGATGTGCACAATAAATGAGAGAATCAACAGTGTTAGCTTCAATGCAGTTGTGTTCATGCTAGAAGAAAGCAACGTTAGCCAACTAACAGCGTCCCCTTATGACCTCCAAAGGTTTGGCGATACTTCTTTACAAGAAGTTATCAACGTGGAGAGTTTGGTGCGGTTAAATTCCTACTTCGAGCAGTTTAAGGAGGTTTTGCCAGAGGATTGTGAGTATTTGTTCCCTCACGGTAGGTTTCACATGTCGTCTCTTGTCACTTTGGGTGTTTGAGCCCTTCCTGCCACTTGGGCTGTCTGCTCCCCAACCTTCCGGATGCTGCCCCCGTGCGCTGATCCTTCCTTGCTTCCCCGCCCCGCATGGCCTCCTGTTCTCCTGCGTAGACTCTGCCCAGCCTGAATCCCCACCCAGAGAAGCTTCCCTCAGGCTGCAGCCCTCACTCATCTCTTCTGGTCGAGTCTCTTCTCACCTACATAATGGGGGGCTTTCTCACACACTGTCTTGGTCACTGGCGTTCATTGATGAATTCAGTGGCCTGCACTGTGCTCCTGCTGGTAGGACAGGTGGGATCACAGAGGCAGGACCCCCACTCGGCCTGGGGGTCAGCTTGCCCCCCACTGCTGTGAGCTCCCCATGTACCTCCCTCTGTGGTGCATAGACAGTAAGATGCTGGGCAGACACTTATTGCTGGGTGTGGGGGGCAAGAAGGCCCCTGTCCGGGTGTCCCTGGAGGCAGTGGAGAGATGACAGCAGCAGTCCCTCTGCTGACACTCAACCTTCTCTGTGCCCACCTAGTGAAGATGCGGCCACTGCCAAACTCAGGCAGGAGCCCGGGGCCCGCTGCCCTCTCTGTACGTGGGGAATTCTCTCCCAAATTCAGCCCAGGACGTATTTACTGAGCACCCACTTATAGGAACCGCCACACGACCCCGTGATGAACGAGATGTCGATCCTGCCTGGGAGGGAAAGCGGGGTTTCAGAGTGGCTCTGCCTCTCTGCTGGCACTGCTCCAGCCACCAGTGGGCACCTGGGAGAAGGAGGCAGAGCCCTGGCCCTGATTACACCAGCGTCCTCTGATGGGGGTTCCCAGAGAGGGAAGGTGTGGAAGGGCTTCAGTTGCGTTCCCAGGTCGCTGACGTGCTGGCTCTGTGCTGTGCTGTATACACATTTCTGCACTGAACCCCACAGCAGCGCCACGAGTTGGGTCAGTGTCTGTTGTCCACATGGACACGGGGGTTGGCCTGGCTCTGAGGCTGTGTACTTAGACAACCAGGGAAGCCGTCCCGATAGGAGAGACTTGCAGAGACCTCAGGGGCCAGGCTGAGGAGCTGATATTCATTTAGTAGTTTTAGTGGGGAGGCAGTGGGGCAAAAGCTGCCCTTCGAGGATTCGTCGAGAGTCGACAAGAGTGTGCTGGCTGGGCTGAGGAGGGGTGCCAGCCTCTGGCGGACTGGGAGTGAGGCTGTGAAACACCCCACGAGGCTGCTTTGTTCTCCGTCTTTGAGCTGCTGGTGTCAGTGGGCAGAGAGAAGAGAAGAGGCATGAGGAAGATTTAGAGGAGATTCAGCTTCCCGGTGGCTACTTGAAGACAATGCTGGGGAAGCGAGAGAGACGACAATAGGACGGGTCCAGCGAAGGGCCTGCGCTGGGCGAGGATCCCTAGAGCTGGTGGCAGCAAGAACGTGACGGGCAGAAGAGCGGGGCTGGGGGGACAAGGGGCACAGCCTAGGCCCCAACTGCCTTTGTGACGTGGGGAAACGGTCCACGAGAGGTGCAGCTCGGAGCCACAGAGCGAGGCCGAGCAGGGCAGACCTGTCGTGCTGTCGTCAGCTGCACGGGGTGACGTGGAGCCCTTTTGTGGCTGAGGTCACTGTGTGCAAGACAAGAAGGGGGCCGAGGACAGAACTTTGGGGAAGGCCCCAGATGGAGGTTTGTTGGGAAGAAAGGATTCGACAGAAGGGCTGGAGAGAGAGTCGTTGGAGAGGCAGGAGGAGAGCAGTAGTGTTTCCTGGAGCCAAGGGAGGGTGTGGACAGGGGGTCCCTGGTGGCTCCAAGGGGGCAGTCTCGGTGTGGCGAGGGGTGCAGTGGAGGCAAGTGGGTGAGCAAATGGTGCTGCCTTGGAAGGGACCGCTCTGTCCCTGATGTTGGCAGAGATTGAGGGATAAGGCCGCAGGAAGGTTGGAAACACGCCTGGAGTGCGTGGGAGATGTGTGTTTGAAGTCCTGGGGGAAGGAGCTAGAAAAACGGGATGCAAGAGGATGGCAGGACTACAAATCAGGGTCCTGGGAGTCCAGGGAGGGTGAGCCGGCGAGGAGGGATGGAGGAGGGGACGGTAGGGACATGCAGGGGCGTTGGTGTGGGAGGGAGGAAGTACAGGGAGCTCAAGTCTCCCAGTGAACGGAGGGAGGTGAGCACAGAACTGGGCCTCGTGGGGAGTAAAGGAGACTTGGAACAGATGCCATGGAGCCATTGAAGTTCCAGCCCTGACTACACGGTGGAATCCACTGGGGAGCCTAGAAAAATCGTAATGCCAGGGCCCCTCCCAAAGTGTGGTGGGCAGGGCCTGGGCCCCCGGAGTTTCAGAAACTCTCGCTGGGTGATCCCACATGCTGCAACCAGGGCTGAAAACAATGACATTAAGAGGTAAATAAAAGAACCCCCTGAGGACTCAGCTGAAGGTCATCAGTACCTGGCTCTCGGGAACACAGGTACCGAAGCGTCCTCATGTTCTTCAGTGGTGATCATAGTTAAAAGTGACAGATTGGTCAAGTCCTTGCATGTGCCTGGGCCCCTACACACTTTGCATGAATTATCCAACATGATCCTCACAGCAGCCTTGGGAGGTGGGCCTATCACACCCATTTCACATACGAGGACACCGAGGCATGGAGGGCAAGTCCCCCAGAGAGCCTGCATCAGGCCAGACAGCCTGCTGCCAACGCCCACCTTCTGATGCTGCGGGGCACAGGGACAGGGCAGGCTACCCAGGCTTGGGCTGGAGGGCCAGTCCCTGGCCGGGGCACCAGAAGGTGAGCAGGGAGGGAGGGACCGGGGACAGAAGATAAATGGGAGCAGTGAGCATTGTGTCAGGAAGGGGGAGTTCTGTGCTCAGCATTTTGGAGGGCGGCCCGTTTCCAGGGATGCAAGGCCCTAGGAGACGTTGACCTAGCCTGATGATGAAGGCCAAGGAAGGGCGTGGCCCACAGGAGCAAAGGCAGCCCGGGCGTGGGTCTCACTGGACCATGCCCAGGAAGCTGGGGGAGCGGCGGCCCATTTAGCCTTCAGCCCCAGGAGAGCTGCTGTGTGAGGCTGAGAAGATGGAGCCCACCTGGTGAATACCCCCTAGGTCTGCCTGGTTCATCACTGGGCAGGTACTTGCTAGACGGGCTGGCAGAGGAGGCCCGAGAGAAGCTACGGTTGACCTTGGGAAGTAAGACCAAACCATCCCCTCCAGGAGGCTGAGTTTTCCTGACCCGTCTCAAGCTTGCCTCCTCTGTGCTCCCACAGCCTCCATCACAGACTGAGCCCTTCACGGGCAGGAGCCTTCTTTCCGTTTCTGTTTCTGCTCCTGTCCCTTGAGCAGCATGGCACTGAGCACGTATCAGGAACGTGAAATAATTAGCACAGGATCCTGTGTACACCAGGGTAAGGTCATGTAGTGGAAACTGTGCAGTGAGACCCCAGAATCCCATGTATTTGGTTTTGATTTGGGGATTCGGGCGCCATGGCTGTTTTCCTTAGACATGACCTTGAGGCTCTTCTCGTTTTCTCTGATGATCCCGGTGTTTGAGAATCCCAGGGTTCTTAGGCCAGGCGATCTGGCTGATCTTCCAGTGAAGGGCCCTGGAAGTGCCTGGAGACGTCCTGGTGGTGGAGGGGAGCTGTCAGAGAGAGTGGGAGGAAGCCTCTCCACGTCCACGTGGAGGAGGCTGCAGGTCCTGCAGCCCCCAGGGATGCCCAAGCCCATTCCGTGGTCGAGACTCCCTGCCCCAAGTGTCCCCATCCCTGATGGAGGATTTGAAGACAGCTGGATTGTCCTCACTCCCTCCTAACTCCTGCCGCTCTCGGTGATTCGATGTCCACTCTCCAGCCCCTTGGAAGAGCTGAAAGGAGATGAAGTGTTTGCCCTTTGTAAGTGGAAGTGAAATGGCAGTAATTAAGTGCTCCAGGTCCAATCCCTAAGCACACCTTCCCTTCTTGCATAAATCGCACTCAACTTCCAGCTTTTGCCGTTTCCGTGCCTCGGCGGCTTACTTGGGTTGTGTTCCTGGGTGCGGCACCAGCTCCCACGGACCCCCTCTCTCTTCCAGGCCTACCTCGATCTCGGAGCCAGACGTGCCTGCCGGAGCTGCTGCGATTCCTGGGTCAGAACGTGCATGCCAGGAAGAATAAGAACGTCGACATTCTCTGGCAAGCTGCTGAGGTACTCGTTAGAGTGAGGAAAAGAGTGTTGTTGTTGCACCCGCTGCCAATAATAATGGTGATAACAAATCAGAGTCTCAGTCAGGACTGGAGAGAGCAAATTTCTCCATGTGGGCACAAGAGAAAGTCACAGAATGTGTTCCCAAACTGGAAGATACTGAAAGTTGCCTGTGAGTTCGTTATTTTAGGGCTGCCTGAATTCTGATAACTTGGCCCAGAGTCTATCCCCTGGGGTCTTTAATAACCAGGCTGATGACAGTTGCCACCTTCAGAAGCCTGCGCAGTCAGTACCAGCTATAACTCCCTGCCCACTGCCTTTTTTAATAGGTTCAAAGAGAGACCGTGGTGACCTTTACAATCTCTTTAAACAACATATATCGTACATTGTAGTTCAGATCGCCTCTTTTCTCCAAGTATTTATGCTTCAAATATTTTCTCATAAGTTTACTTGTGGAGTTCCCGGTCACTGCTCTGAGCCTGGTTATCAGAGCAGTTTCTAGTCATTCACTCACCCCTGAGGAGGGGTGAGTTTAACTCGTCCTCATGGCAGCATTGGGACCTGTCCGATGTTGGGACTTGCACACGTAGACTCAGGACGCAGTGGCCTCCAAATGGCTTTCTACTACCCCCCAGCCTGCATGCTGAGGAAGGATGGCCACACGCCCCTCTGCCTCGGGGAAGGGAGTTAACACTGCTCTGCCCACTCACACCGGGCACCACCGTCCTGGCTCCTGGAGCCCGAGTGGCAATTAGGAGGCTGTCCCCCACAGCTCCCCAGAGCATCCTTCTAGAACTGTACTGTTCTCGTCAGGAAAGTGTTTCTCTCAACCCCAGTCTCTTCCATTACAGCAGACGCTCTCAGCCGGTCACGGTGCTGGCTGGCCCTTTGCGTTGTTTATTTGCTATTGTATTGAAAGCTGTCTTCATGAAGTCCCTCTTTGGAACATGCTCCACTTTGTGCGTTTGTTAATGGCCACTGGTATCTTTCTGTCGAATGAAGTGTTGAAGAGTGAACATTCTCCTCTGTGTATGAATCTGTTCTTTTAGCCTTTCAAGTGCCCCAGCTGGGAAGACTTCATCCTCATGACAAGTGTGGGGTGGGGCAGTCTGAGGATCTCTCCTTTCTGGGCCAGGCTGCCCTGGGATCTTCTTAGAACAGAACACATTATGAAGCACCGAGTGACAGGAAGCTCCATGGGGAGCTCGGTGGGGTTCATAGGCCTCATTTTTTAAGTGTCCTCCTGGTTCTGGGGCCTCGTCTGCCACTACTGGCTCAGGCCGAGCCCAGCGAATAGGGTGTGAGGCAGGGCTCATGCGTGCCGGGCGCCTCTGCGGCAGGACCCTCAAGCCCATACACTCTGCAGGCACAGGGGCTCCCTGCTTTCTTTTAGTTTGTTCTTTTGGGGTATAATAAATATCCCTTGGCTGGCTATGACCAGTCTCTTACACAGGTACCCTTGCAAGACTTCAAACAAAGAGCAAGCTTTTCCCCACGTGACACAGCAAGGCCAGAGGGGGACAGCCAAGTCCCTCCGCAGTGGCACAGGGCAGGTACCCTCCAATGCACTCTGCTCAGAATAAACACGCAGACGGCTCTGCAGACAAGAGTGGATACAGAGACCTGTGTACCTTGTTTGGGAACTGTGCGTCTGGTTTTCTCTTTCTATACGACAGAAAAACCATCAACCGCAGTGATGATCAACCATCCTCTCTAACCAGGTCAAAAAAGCAGTTGGTCCAGCCCCGTATTTTGTGTTCCCAGCAGAGGCCCCAAGGTATAGAAGCATAGATTCAGAGGTGGAAGAGACTCAGTGACTCTTGGACACATCACTTCCCATACTGTCCACCTGAGGACCCCCTGGGGGGCAGGTGGGTGTGGGGGCAGCAGGGCCAAGCCACTCAGGTACCAAGCCCTCAAGTCCCCGGTGTGACCAGAGCTGCCCTCCTTTGTGGATCTTATTTATTTTCATTTCTGTGTCTGAACAGGGGGATCCTGCCTCAACAGTTGGAATATCATTAGTCAGGTCTAACACCTCATTTCATGGATGGGGATGGGGAGACCAGAGCCTGGCACTGCAGACCACCCTCTTGGGCAAAGATGCACCTTGGTCCCCCTGCCTTCCTTCTGGAACCTTGTGTAGGTTGGGCTGCACCCTCTGTGAATATAAACTTTCCTTGAACCTGTTTGTAGTCCCAGCATGTGCCACATGTCCGGGTCATGCGCTCCACAGCCTGTAGCATTTAGTGAGCGTGTCCACGTTCAGCCTCGCCTCATCAGTTATGATTTTACAAATCTGGATTAAATCCCTCTTCATCTAGCGTGGGGGCTGCTTACAGCCTTCTCTTGTTTTCTTTCTTTTTTAAAATTTTTTGTCTGTTCTCCAGAGAAGCCATCCTCCTCCTGATGGTCTTGGCTGAACTTGTTTGGGCCTTTTCTGTTTTCTCTTCCCCTCGACACTGTGCTGAGGATTGACCCGCTCTCCACCTAGTGGCGTCCCTGTGGTGCCCCCTTCTTGGTGTGCTGGCCTGAGAAGGAGCTGTGGTGCCGTCTTCAGGGCTGTCTGCAGTGGCTCTGATATTTTTCTGGAGTGTAGGTTTCCACAGCTCACCACTGTCGAGCTCAGATGATTTTTTGTTAAATACCAGTGTTGTTCTCACTGAAGCTCTTGTGGCCTTCAGTGTTTTGGAAATCACAGGTTTCCAGGTTTTAGAAAGGTGATGTGGTCTACAGTTGATGCACATATGTGCAATATGGTACCTGTCACCTGTGTGTACCGTGGTACCCATATATGATTTAACATCCCCAGGGGAGTCTGGGGCAGCGCCCTGGAACCAGATTTATTAATATTGCTTCACTGAAAAGTAAGAATATACAAAATGGGATAATTAAAGGCTATAAATAGTCTCACATCATCTCAGATCTGGTCTCGCTGCCAAATGAGGTTGCCACAAACATACCAAAAAAATCTTTTGTTTTAGGGCTTTCTGGATTTAGGAAGTGTGTACCTAGGATTGTACCTAGTGGAGCAGAGAAAATGCCCCCAAATGTCTTTCCCCTGTGGAGAGATGGTGCCCTGAGGTGGTTTTTTCCCAGCAGCGAGGCTTCGCTGCCATGCGAGCTCCTCTCCTGTGAGGAGGCGGCGCATTGGCACCTCACTGTGTCCCAGGGCCCTGTGAGCTGGAGGGTGGCGAAGGACCTGCGGGTCCTGGTGGTCGGGATGTGGCTGAAGGGAATGGGTTTTCTGAGCTGTTCCCATCTGTGAGGGTGAGGAGGAGAGTAGAGGCCAGTGGGTCTGTGCTGTGCCTTCTAGAAAGGCCTAGGGCTGGCCAAGGGCTAGGTGTCCTGTGAGCTGCTCTGCTCTCCTCCCAGGAGGGGGCAGCAACAAAGGGCTGAACGTGACAGGGGGACCCCTGGCATAGTTGGGAAGAGGGCAGCTGCTAAGGTCAGTGAACAGACGGTGATGGCTCAGAACGAAAGGGAGCCTGGCCTGAGGAGTGTCCTGGGGGAGAAGGCACGTGAGGGACACCTGTCATGAGAGGCAGTCCCGCAGGCAGTGACTCTGTTTCCAGGACCAGCCCTAGCAGGCCCTGGAGAGCAGAAGCAGAGGGACCGGCGGGCCCGGGAGTTGAGGCCTTGCCACGCGCCCCTGGGGGGCCCTTCTGAGCCTCTGTCCTTCGTGAAGGGCGTTCCATTCGTTCCGCAGCGTCTCTCCGCTGAGCACAGCCTGTTCTCCTGTTGGCAGATCTGCCGCCGCCTTAACGGGGTCCGGTTCACCAGCTGCAAGAGCGCCAAGGACCGCACGGCCATGTCGGTGACGCTGGAGCAGTGCCTGATCCTGCAGCACGAGCACGGCATGGCGCCGCAGGTCTTCACGCAGGCCCTGGAGTGCATGCGCAGGTGAGTCCGCGGCCCCCCGCCCCCCCCGCCCCCCCCCGCCGTGTAAACTGCAGATGAGCCGCCGCCGCCTCCCCGTGCCTGCGGCTGTCACGCTCTGGTCTGACTTGGGCAATTCACTCATGTCTGCAGAGGCAAACCATGGGCACGCTCCAATTGAGACCGTGGTCTCCTTTAAGTCAAGGGGGTAAAACAGGGCCAGCAGTCTCTCTGAGCAGGACTGCACGGAAAACACGTGGAGCCGGGCGAGCGTGGGTGCCAGGACGTCACACGGGGACCTCAGCGCAGCCGTGTGGGTCCTCGGGCCGTGGCTCTCCCCCAGCCGCCCATCTTGTTGTGGGTGTGGTTCCGAGCGGAGCTTTCTGGGCGGGCATGGCTGTTGCCATCACCATAGATCTCTTTTCCAACTTGAGTGAAGACAGCGCGTCTGCAGGTTGCACTGGTTTGCTCTGCTTCTTTCGCCGTCGACACAGTTTGCTTTCATGAGCAAAGTGTCCACTGAGTGTTTTGTGGTAACGGCAGCCGCCCCGCCCACCTGTCCGTGTGCCATGGCCACCTCACCCTAATGATGTTCTGATTCTGAGGCAGCAGGCGTGTTTGCAGAATGAAACCTGGGACTAAAAACTCTGTCCACTGTTGAGCGATGCCTTGTTTCAAGCACTGCGGGGAGCTCCTTACCTCACATACCAAAAGAAAGGATAAGAAACCTGGTTTCCCATCTTCCTCAATGTAGTCACCAATGCTGTTCGAGTCTCCTTTCCAACAGTCACTTCTACTGAATGTTCTGTATCATTTGTCCTCTCACCAGATTCTTTAAAGCGTTCAATTCTCTTATCCTTTCTGTATGTTTCTGCCGTTTGACCTTCTCACAATAATGCACAAAATGGATGCCTCAGCTCCCGCCTCTTGATGATAGCATTTTGTAAAAATGGAATCATTTTGTCCCTGTTTTGTCTTTCCAAATTCATCTCAACCTCTCTGTTACCTCAGGGGCGCCTATTTATGCATTTTTAGAAAGTTCACCACCCTCCCTGCCCTGAGCCTCGGGGAAGCAATGGAGGCTCAGAGATCCCTGCCCCGGGCACCCTTGTCTAAGGGCCTGTTCTCACGGAGCCTGTGTGCCCTTCAGGCTTGGTGTCCCTGGTGCTGTGGGGGTGGCGGGGCCTGGGCTTCCAGCCACACCTGCACCCTGTTAGCTGCGAGGTGGTGGGAGGGGCTGCTCTGGTGAGCTGCAGACCTCTGCCAGGGAAGAAAGGAGAAAAATGGAGGGGGCGTCCCTGTCGTTGTTGGAGCAAATATTAGGATCAGTAGGCCAGGCCCTGAGTCTGCTGTGCAATTGATACACAGACCTCTATCTAGTCTTGGCTTCTTAAACAAATTCAATGAAAAGAACGATTCATTCTGACTGTATCTGATAGAGAGGCCTCTGGAGACCAGGGAGGAAGTGGCTCCTTAGACATGGCTGGGGCCCGGCACACTCGGCGGCCCCTCTACTGGCTGTAGCCCGCCTTCGGGGGGGTGTGCAGCACCCACACGTGCACAGGCTACCTGTGATGGTTCACAACACACAAGGCACTTTTATAACTTTTATCTCATAAGTAACTGCTATTCCTTGTGGGACTATTAGTAAGGTCACAGAAGCTCCTACACCAGTTGTACCCACACCCCCACAAAACAGTCCTCCGTATTCCTGCTGTCAACAAGTGGCAGTGCTAAGTTTTCAGTACAAACGGATGTGAGTGTGTGATGCACACACGGGTTCACCAGTCCCTGGATGACCTGCAAAACCAAAGTCCGTAGGTGCACACGCCAGTGCAGTTCTGCCTGTTGTTTTACCTACTTTTTTTCCATTTAACTCTCTTGTGAGCCTTTTTTTCAGGTTAATCATTTTTAGCACACCCTAATTTACCAATTTGCTGTCACTGAATATTTAAGCTGTGTATGGTTTCCAGCGCTGTAACCAGTGGTGTGGTGAATGTTCTTCCCTATCGTTCTCCCACCCACGCTCACCCAGGGGCTCCCTCGGTTATGAGCACACCCCTTTGGAGGCTCTGCATACAGAGTGCTCCGTACCATCCACCCCACCCGCCTGTGTCCCGAGTGCCTGCTCGCCCGCCCTCTGGGTGGTACCATTCCTGGCACTGTTCTGAGCGCTCTGAGTCTGTAAAGTCGTCCTTGCTTTTCTACGTCACGGGTCAGGACCCCGAGGCCCTGAGTAGAGAAGGTCTTTCCTCCCATGGGAACAGCCCCATTCCCGGCCGCCTCCTGCCTCTCTCAAACCCCCGCCCGCCTCCAATTATGGATGTCTGTTTAAAGTTTCCTAGTTTTGTTTTTCTGAATTTTCTAAAATCTCTGCAATGAACATGTATTCCCTTAATAATCATTTAAGAGGTTATTAAAACAAAAACAAGGCTCGATCCCTTTTCGCCTCTGCCACCCCCAGAATCCTCGTAGCAGAGCCCAGGGCGATGTGCTTGCTGTCACCTTGTCCCCCTGACCTGGAGGCAGGTCGGGCTCTCACCACGTGCATTTGTTTTCATGTGATGCCGTTCCATCTGACTTGCGTGTTTTCTGGATTATCCCATGTGGGGGAAGACGTGTGTCTGTGCATAGACTGCAAGCCCCAGGTAGCTGGGCTGCTGGCCAGTATTTCTGGCTGCAGTGGTGGCCCTGAGGAGGCAGCAGTCAGTATTGGCTGTGCCCTTGAGTGGAGGAATGCATTTTGATTCTCTTGCCTTCTCGCTTGCATCGTCCCAGACGGAAGAGTAGAGCATGCAGGCAGGGGCGCGGGGCGGGGCAGAGGTGCGGTGGGGCAAGGGGGCAAAGCTGACACTCAGGCTCTCTTTCTCCTGGAGGCCCAGGATGAGCAGTGGCTAGTGCTGTGCTAGCAAATGTTTAACAACCAGGTGTCTCTCCAAAAAAAAAAACAACCCTGCTCTCTGTAGTGTTTGCCAGCTTCTGTGGCATAAATGCTCCTACCGGAGCCTATTTCAAGCTACATGTGCAACACCACAGAACGCGGAGTTGGGGTGAGATGTGTATACTCAGCTCTTGCGAGCCATCTGAGCCAATTCCAGCTCACCGCTGGTGGTGTCCCTCTGTCCCCAGTCCAGGGGCTGAAACACTCACAGAGTGGGCCTTCTTAAGTAGCCCCAGTGACCCCCCAGCCTGCCCTGGTTGAGAGTGTGACAGTCAGTCAGTGCTCACAGCATGGAAAGTGTCCCCTTTCAGAATGGCACATCCCAGCAGGGCCATTCTAGGGCTTCCAGTTTCCTCTGGGAAGCCCAGGAGGACCCGGCTTGAGGAAGGAACCCTGGACCTCCTGCCTGTCCATCCCGAGTGGATCCTCACGGGCACCTGCTGTGTCCTAGCACCTCTGATTCTGGGTCACTGTTGCCACTTTGGTGGACATGCATAGAGGATGTGGTTCCAGAGTCCTGTGGTTCCAGCTGCCATCTCACCTCAGTACATTTCTTTTGTAGCACCAGGGCAGGGAACATCCCCAGATTTCCGACGTGAGCTCAGTTGGATTCTGTTCTTGGAGGTCATCTTGTAGAACAATAACTTGAACAGTTGGAGACCCTGGTGGCTCATGCCCTGCTGCTGCTCAGCCTGAGAGCCAAGGCGGGTCTGCTGAGGGCTTGGCCTTTGGTTGATACTTGAGGTAAACGGTCATCCTCTGAATGGTTAATCAAGAGGCAGCTTTGGCAAAATCACTTGCCGCGCCCCCTGCTCAGGCATCTGTGAGAAGGTCAAACCCCTCAATGGTTCTTCATGTTCAGCTTGCTTGTTGAGATCATGTCTCGCAGCATGTGACAGCATGGCAGGGCAGCGTGCACTTGTGCTTTGGCCAGCCGAGAGAGAGTGAACATGGAAAACCATTTAATCAACCTACGTGTGTTTGTTTTCAGTAGACTACAGTATTTTTTCTTATTTTCACTTCTCTTTCTCTCCTTTTTTCTTGTGACTGTGCTGGTTTTGTTTTGGTATTTCTTTCATACCCTTTTCTGCATATCATCTTTTCTTTCTGTGGTGGCTTCATTCCATTTTTTTTTAATCTTATCTTTTGGTTCTCCTCTTTTTTCCATCCTTTTGATAAAATCCATTGCATGTGTCTCTCTTTTTTTTTCTTTATTTCCTTTCCCTTTTTCTTTTCCTTTCTCCCAAACTTTTTCCTTTTCACAGCATTGGAACACGGGAGGTAGTCACCCAGAAGAACTTGAGCGGCCTGGTGCCCATCCGAGACTTAAGACTAGATCCCAGCCTCCTCTGCTCCATCCCTTTATTGGCTCTGAGCCCCAATTTACTGATTGCGTGGCTCTTTCTGAGCATAGCATACCTGGTGGCCAAATTGCGTTGCAAATGAATATCATGATGAAAAATTAGTAGTAAGTCACAAGAAAAACAAACGTGCCAGAATATGTCCAGCCACCGGGTACCTGACTGGACAGAAGGAATGTGTCAGAGCGTGGTCTGCCGAGAAATATTTCATGCCTTACAGTTGACGTTTTGTTGTTCTGAACTGTATATACCTGCCAAATTATTTCACGAAGAGGACTTGTTCTTTTACATTCTGTAGCGTTTTCAGTGCTTGTAACATGTTCTTACAGTGCCCTGTTACTGCATTGTTGAGCTGGCCTGGAATTACCTGTACCAAATCCTTTCCTTCCGATGTAAAACTATTTATTACCTGTATATCTCATGTGCCCTGTTTCCAAGAGAAAGCAATTCTGTCTGAAAACAATTTGTATATTTGATACTATTCTTTAAATGTACTACTAACCTTTCCTTTCCTTTTGAAGAGAAATGAAAAGGATAGATGCTTTCTAACTGGCTCGTCTAGATAAACCTATTTAATAGGACGTGTACTTTCTGCTTTCATTTCAAAGCGTAGTCCCTTAAATTACAGTAGCAAACAGTTTGCAGAATCATAACATTTCCTTGCTTATGTTTATTATTTCCAATTCAGGATGACACAAAGCTGTGAATACCATAGCACATCATACCAAGTCAGGCACATAAAAATAACATATTGCATGTGACTTTCGATTTACTCTTTTCACTCTTTAAGGATCATTAAACTGATTCTGGGAATTAACTAATATAGTAAGAAAAGGCTGTTGAAGTTATATACATTTATTTTTCTTTTGAAAAATTCCGGTCATCTTTTCTCTCTTACAAATCAAATATGGTTAATAATGAAAAAAAAACCAAACAAACAAAGATAAATGACCAAAAAATGAGGCCTAACCTTTGGGCGGTTGTGCCCCCCACGATGGAGCTGTGAGAGAGAAAGAGTTGCTTTCGTTTCTGCTGTTCTCACTCTAATTTTAACACGGCGTTGTCCATAAAGTGAGACGATTGTAACCTTCACATTCGCATTTGGCAGAGGGGTAATTGTACACCTATAAAGGTAACAGAATAAATTAGGGGAAATTTCCGCAGACCCTGTGTGAGAAATACTCCGTGGCTTCTCTGTTTTCCAGTTCAGATTATGTTGTGCTTCTGTTTTTGACCTTCAGCTGGTTCTTCATACCCTGTGTTTTATGAAAGCGGATTTCTTTTTACCAGTCTAGAAAAATTGGAGTGAATTTAGAGAAGCTGTCTTTTCCAGGAACTTTAGACCCATGCATGCACACAAACCCAGTCCACCACAACATCTGGGCTCTCCATTTCCTCCCCGGGACTTCCAGAACTTACTCTGTTTCTCTGGTTAGGCGTCAGATCCGAGTTGGGTTCTAAGAATTGTAGAAGCAGTTAGCAATGAATGACAAATGCCACACTCAAACTTTAAACTCTAAAATGGAAGCCTGTCCTCCATACACTCCTGGGATGCCCCTCTTTCCTAGACCTTCTGAGCCCTGCAGGAGCCTGAGGGCAGGTGTCACACCTGTAGGTGAAGCCAGTCTTCTCACAAGAAGTACAGTGTGGTCAGTCTGTCTTTTCTAGAGTAAATGAGGTGGCTTTTCTGTGCACAGCATCCTTCAATAGGGAGTCTCTCACCGAATGCCGAGTGATCGGTGGTGTTAAGTTGTAGCAACGTGACACTAGTCACTCTCCAAGTCCTGTCTAGTCTGTGGTTCTCTGAGAGGTGTGTTCACCACTTGCCCTCCTTTAAATCGAGGTGGACATGTCAACTCTCTAAGACTGTTCTGTTTACTTTATTTGAAAGAGGGAAAGTGGAGTCCACAGGCCCATTCAGTTCCCAGTCCCTGCTCTGGGTAAAGCGCTCCTGATGCCCCACGGTGGTGACACATGCTTGTGCCCACCTCTGGGCCAGGCAGACCGCGTGCAGATGAGAAAGGCCCTTCTGACTACAGACAGCGCCGCCGCCTCTTCTCCGGGCCCGAGGGGGCTTCTGTGTCACTCTCCAGAGACCCTTCCCAGGACCCACTGCACAGCAAAGGGAGGCCGTGGCAGCTAGAGAAGCCCCTCCAGCAGGGCCTCATGGACACCACGGCCCGCTCCTTGGTTGTGGTGGGGCCAGCCAGGCCTTCCTGCCCTGTGTAGGTTTGGCTGCCAGCTTGACAGAGAAATAGGATGGAAGGGAGAGAGAGGATAAGGTTCTTTTTCTCTTTCAGGGCCAGGTCAAAAGCAATACATTCTAACTCTGCAGTCATGAGGGCTAGCCTGAGAAAGGACACCATGAGATCAGCCGAGGCCGTGGGTGGTGATGGTTTTCTTTAGAGTATCTGAGAAAAGAGACTCAGTAGGCTTGCCCTTTGTGCTGAGTTTTAATGTCACTGAGGCCTTTTACTCATGAAGTCAGGCTAAATATATATCCGAAATCTTTTCTGCTCTAGTGAGAAATGGGCAGAATGAAACAAAGATGGGAAGATGATTTAAGAAAGGGAAGTTATTGATATTTGGTGATGGTTTTCAGATTGCTTCTAGGCTAATGCTAGTGCTGAGACACCGTGGACGGCAGCCAACTCGAGGTATTCAGGGTCACTAAGACACCGATGCATCCAGATGACTTCTAAAGTGAAAGAGCCACCCTGGAAAGGAAAAACCAGAGGTGTCCCTAAAATTAGTTGTCATTTGGGTTTCCATTCTAATTTTTCATTTCAAAAGCAGATGTCCTTGAAAAGAAATAATTTATTGACATAATAAAAAATAATCTTATAGCTTTGAAATAATTAAATCCCTCTTTCTAAAATTGATCGAAGATCTTCTCAATGTGTGTTATTGACTCCTAAACACATGCAGCTGGTGTGACCCGTGAGAGTGCTCCCCCATAGGACAGAGGCTGCCTCCGCTCTCCCTCCCTTGGGCCCAGCACTGTGCAGAGTTTGTGGAAACGCGACAAGAGTGTCGGCGTGCTGTCAGCCCTGCCGGGCAGATTTTGTGAATTCAAACCAAACTCAAACATTTGAGGAAAAGTAAATACAATTTGCTTTAAAAATTAAATTGAAATACAAGTGTAATCTGGATTATAACTTCATGTATCATGTGTTTAGCCAGCTAAACCAGTAAGTAGCTTCTTTAACATGTGAATAAAAGATAATGTTGAAGTTCACAAATTATGCTGCTTCACTCCTCAAAGCAGTTTGGCCTCTACTAGTGGTAGGTGGTTTTTGAGAAGTGTGTACAGTTCTGTATAAATGGAAAAGCCTTTTCTGAAATAGTCCGAGAATGTGAGCTTCCCAAGATTGAACAGGACTACCTGTGCATGGGAACCTACAGCTTCTGCTTTAAGTGGAATTATGTTTTTATGTGGTTATTGGATGTTAGACACACATGATCATTATTTGCTCTAGGGACTCCCTGCTCATCTGGCCTAGGGGTTCAGCTCAGGTGACACACATCTAGCTAAGGGCTTGAGGCTCTGGTGATAAGAAAGCATTATTAGAGTTACTAAATTACATAATAACAAGCAGGTGGGTATTTTTCTAAACTACCTGAGATGACCTTTTAAATAAAATTAGTCTTACCAAAAGTATGTTACATGTTCTTGATAATGAGACTGTCATTTTCACTTGAAAAACCTTGAGCAGTTGCCACTGATTTTTTTAAAATGCATGACATATGGTCTTCATACAATTTGAAATATTTTTTTTAAATCACTGTTTCTTGTTAACGGCAAATTTTACATCTCATAAGGGGGATTTTGTACTAAATTTGATAAGTAGTTGATTTAATTGCTAGTCTTAGAATAATATAAAAATCTAAAGGTATACTATGCTATAGGAAGTCATTTATATTTAGAATCGCTTTTGCCTGTTAATTTTATGTCTACACCAGAACATTTCCCAGAGAACTCCTCTGATACTCTCATTTGGGAATATGAGGGCTGCCTGATGGCTCATCCTCCTGTTCAGCATTTGCTTTGCCCACTGGGTTGCCATGACAACCCTCCATCAAAGGCAGCAGAGGATGCTGGTAGCAGATTCTCTAGGGAAGGGCACCTGTGGGCTCTCACTGGCTCAGTGGCACTCTTGTGAGAGGTGACCACCATGAGGGCAGCCCATCTGGAGAAGGTGGCTGGCTGCCACCAGGAGACCTCGGTGGGGCCTCTCCTTCATGACACTCCAGCCCTGACAGCCGTGCAGACCCACCATGCAGCCATTGCATGGGCCCACTGGATTGCTTTGCACCCGGGACAGCTGTCTCCCAGCATGTCAGAGCAGCCTTCTCAGCCAGATGGCTTGGCCACAGGTTGAATTCTGCAAGGAAACGCAGCATTCTGAATTTGAAGTGGTTAACAGCTGTTGCTAATATAGAAAAATGCAGCTCTTTAAAGGCTTTAGTAAGATCAGCACTATTTAATTTGCTGTGTAACAGAACCTTTGAACCACCAGTTGTGATAGAACCCTCAATAACTAGACATGACATCCAGGAAACCATTAACTGAAACAGAAGCTTTGCTTCCACTCAGCTCCAGCGCTGCTCTTGGACGCGCACAGCTCGCAGTCCCGTACACATGCGTCCATCTCGGTGCGGCCTAACTGCCTCCCCCGGCAGCCCCATCTCCCGTGTGTACTGTTGCAAACGAGTCTGGCACCCATTCAGATTAATCAACCTTTTTTTTTTTAATGTTATGAAAATAATCGGTTCATTTCATCTTAGTTTAAGTCTTTTCTTTTTTCCTTTTTTACTGCTGTCATTTCTTGTGCTTGTTTTTTCCCCAGTGAGGGTTGTCGGAGAGAAAATACAATGAAGAATGTTGGAAGTCGCAAATATGCGTTTAATTCCCTGCAGCTGAAGGCTTTCCCCAAGCATTACAGGCCTCCCGAAGGGACTTACGGCAAAGTTGAAACATGAACACACGGTGTCCTCTGTTAGCTGTTACATGATAAATGTGGGTACCCTCTAGTGTCATATATGAATTCTTCAACACGACCTGAAGGATTGGTTTTTATTTTTGTGTTTTTTAAAATATTTCACTAAAGAGTCTATGGAGCATGTTTTTTTCCGTTGGAATCAATAGGAGGTAATGTTTGGCTCAATAGTGTGGATAGTAACGACTGCCCAGTAAGTAGCCGCCAGCCGTAACCACGTGGATATCATCAGTAGTTACCTGTATGAGTCCAGCTAGGTGTGTCTGAAATGCTGAAAGACTTTTTTAAATGCCCACTTAGGCAGCTGCTCACCTAACTTATTTTTCTACTGAGTAACTCAAAATTGAGCATTGAATTACAACCTACTTTTTAAAAATCTGAATGTAAAACAGTAAGTAAGATATTAAGTAATTGGATTCTGGACAGACTAGTAAATGTTAAATGTTAACCCACACTTTGGGGAAGAAGCTAGCTCTGTCTCATGCAGTGAGAACAAGCGGTTCCCGTGAACTATCCCGTCTGTGCCACCACGGGTAAACCAGCAAGGGAAGCAAAGGCCAACCCATCAGCCTGAGATGAGACTTGATCAGGAGACAACACTGCAGAGCCGCCCACAGTGGGGGCCACTTCTGTCCCTTCTAAGTTAGAGGACAGGGCGTCTGCTTGAGACCGTGAAGCCAGCCGTCTCCGGTTCTCCTCAGCTCCATGTCTGTCCCCCGCACCCCCAGGGCACGTCTCCCCTTCTTCTCTGGAGTTCTGTCGCTCCAGCGCCTCACACGGGGTCTGAGGCCTCTCAGACAACAATGGGGTATTTGTGCGTGTGGACAGTGGAGGCCGAGATATTTTCAGAACAGATGTCCTTCTGTGGTTTCCTAATTTAGCAATTCTTCTAAAAGACAATACAATCATGTTTGAATGTCTGATGAAAGTGTCTTTTAGGTTTGCAACAATTGTTACTATCCTCTTCTCATTCTGTTATGTAAGATGACTATTGAGAGTTGAAATTATCTCCTAAAATGAGATTTTTGAAAGGGATTAATGGGCCATAAAACTTAGGAATTTCATAGAAAATTATGTCTGGTCATCTATTATAAGATGATAATGAGTCTTATCTGCACATAGCAGAGTTTTTTTCTCAATTTATGTTTTATCAATTCTGTTTATCTTGATTATTATGTTTACATGTTATTTAAAAGGCTGTAAAAATATATATGTGGCACATATTCATGATGCTGATCCTAATGACTTGTGAACCCTTAGGAAATTCCTGTGTCTAAAATTCTAGCTATTATTCTTTGGCTCCTTTAGAAAAGCCACTTGGAAACATGTAACTAACTTCTTGGGCCTGGGGAGCTGAGGCCCAGGCGTTCAAGAACCCCCCTTGGCAGGGACACAGGGGTGGGCATCAGGTGAGGCTGGAACTGGGTGACCTTCCAGTTCCCTTCCTACTCAGAAGTCGGTGCTCAGATAGCCTGCCGTCTCCTGATGCCTACGGGGGCGAAGTGCCCACTGGCTGAATGTGAGCTGGTGTGGAGGAGGTCGGCGAGGGCTGGCTGCAGCTCACTGTCCCTCTCGAGGCTGGGTTCCCTGGAGGGTGGAGGCCGAGAAACTCTTGTCCACCAGACCCACCGCAGAGGTGGCAGCAGCTGCTGTCGGCTTCTCCTGTTGTAGGTGTCAGTCCCTGTTCAAAGACAGTTTTCTCCAATCTGGCTGATTAACCTGTCACCTCTCCACCATTTCATTTTATTTGCAATTTTTTCTAGTATCTCTGTATTGCCATCATTTCTCGTTTTAACATCACTACCTTTTAAAAAATTCCCTTGTCTTTTTAAATTAAATGTTACACTATTGTATTCAGAATTCTTTTTTGTCTGAAGAGCATTAAATACTTGCATTTATCAAAAGGGAATATAGCAAATGGTGAGTCATCTGTTGGCAGTTTTGCATGTGGCACATTTATGTGAATATTTTCCCAATTTTATCTTCATATTATGGATCACCATAAAACTCTAAGACTTGGCTCATCGTGTAGAAGACATTCAGGTTTCAGCATTCTGTCTGAGCAGTACTGCCAGGCGCCCATGTGACGGTCTCACAGGGCGTCGTGCACTTACCGAGCTCACTGGGCGCGGGCGCGTCACCCGTCATGGTGGCAGCAGCTCCTCGGGTGACCTAGGAGCTCGGAGTGTTCAGCTGCACGAGGAAGGCAGTTTCACAGGTTACCGTACAATAGAGGTTCCATCCAGTGTTCCCTGGAAGGCCGCATTTAAAAGAAACGTTGAGACATCCTGAAGACCCGAGGTGACGTGGATTCTGTCAAAGCGCCTGCAAGCACACTTGCCTTTGGTTTCCTTGAAAAATGTACAAATATTGTATAATACAGTTTGTCCCTCCAAGTTGTATTCGCCAAGCCTAGTGCATTAAAGTACTTTTATTTATTTGTTTGGGGCAGTATTAATATATATAAACATGTAGTTACTGTTTTATATATTCTTAGCTCATTCAAAGCCATGTATGCTGTAAATGTGCTCGTCTTTAGAATGACAAATAATAAATAACTGACAAGAACATTAAACTTGGTCTTGCCTGATTCATTGTGACATCAGGAGGGCTAGTTCTGTGGCCAGCATCTGATCGGACCCTCATTCATGGGCACTGCATTGAGTGCTCGGGGGTTTGTAAACATGGGACCACGAGAGACTGCTGTTTTCTAACCT